TGAGCCATATTAGGAAGATGGACTGGTATCCACTGGTAACATGAAAAGCACTATAGGACTATGCATCTGGCAGGGCATGTTATCTGCAACAAAGATTGGAGAATAGTGATATTGTGCATTTACTATGTACTTTGTATCTTTAAAACACTTGGTTTCAGGCCAACTCAAGGAGATACTCATTTTCCAGGTGAGGAAAATGAGGTCAGAGAACTTGCCAACATCACAAAGCTAGTGAGTGGCAGAGCCAGTATTCAAATATAAGCAATTTGACTACATTAATGGCCTTAACTGTTCACATCTTTGTATCCACACTTTTTGCCATGACTTGCAGTTTTCTCATTTAAAGGGGAATCTGAACAGCCCCACCCATGAGTTCCATCATGTAACTTGCTTTGTCCAATGAAATATTAGTAGATACAACACATGCAGACTTGAAAACAACTTGCTCCTCTTCCATGACCAAGAGAACATGCCTGGGTTAGCCTGGTGAAGGACACAAGAAACAGTTTGCTCCAGTCATCTCAGAAGCTATCCTAGATCAGTTCAACCCAAGACAAAGGGTGAGCCCAGCCAAGGTCAGAAGACCTGCCTAGCCAACCCACAACTGACTGCATGTACACAAGTTAAGACAGCAGCGATCAGCCATGGCCGGATTAGCAGAACTCCACAGACTTGTAAAATAAATAAATGTACTTGTATACCACTGGGGTTTTTTTTTTGTAGTTGTTCCATAGCATTACTGTAGCAGAACTAACTGATAAACTGGTTCTGGAGCCCATACTCCTAATGACTATATTGCTTTTCAAAGGGTTGAGTTTTGGGTGATAGACATGTGACTAGATATATTCAGCAGAGTTAGAAATTTGAGACTAGAGTTTGGAAAAGACATTATGGGTAGTGAAATATACTTGAGAATCATTTAAAAAGATGTGATAGTTGAAAGAAAGGCAGTGAAGGAACTCTCTAAAGAATATATACAGGGGATGGCAAAAGTAGGTTTACAGTTGTAAATACACGTTTATTCTTGTATTATGTATTAATTATTGTATTATTTGTATCACAACTGTAACCTACTTTTGCCCACACCTGTATTTACAAAGGTAGCATGATAGAGATTTATCATCCAACATCCAGAGTGAAAAGTAAAAAGAGAAGACACAGTAGGCAGATATGCAATGGGGGAAAAGTTGATCAAATGTAGCACCATGCAAGTTTAGGAAGGAAGTTTCAGGATATAGTTGTGACTGAGAAACAGTCATTGGGTTTTCTATTGAAAATTTACTTATGACTGAGAGAGACATAGGTTTTGGAATTAGACACACCTGGGTCTGACTTTTGACACTTAATGTACTTGGCCATATTTAATCTGTAAATATGTTTAGGCTAGTGTGCCTGACATTTGCTAAGAACTCAACATTAGCAGTGACTAGTGTGGTTGAGTTATTACAACAGTTTTGAACAATAGCCCATTTTTCCCCCTAGAGAAATAGTTTTACCTAATCCCCTCACCCACAGTCCCTCAAAATGGTAACAAGTATATTCAAACTAATCACCTTCCTTTATGAGTTAGGGGAGTAGTTTCAAAACCCAAGGAAATTACCTCATTCTGATATAATTAACTACACATAATATTTCAGTTTGTTATGAGATGGTATGTTTACTAATAGGCCATATAAGAGAAAGATTTTTTGAGCAGGGTGACAGTAGTAAAAGCCAAATAGTGGATTTGAGAAGGAAAGAAGGTGAATATTGAAGTGGAAGCAAAGAGTGTAGTCCAATCCAGTAAGAAATTTGTTGATAAAAAAAAGAAGTCAGTATTCCCAGCCGGTATGGCTCAGTGGATTGTGCATCATCCCATGGACTGTGAAGTCTTAGTTCAATTCCCAGTCAGGGCACATGCCCAGGTTGCAGGCTTGATTCTCAGTAGGGGCATGCAGGAGGAGGCAGTCAATTGATGTCTCTCTCTCACATCGATGTTTCTATCTCTCTTTCCTTTCCACTCTTAAAAAAAAAATCGCCCTGGCCGATTTGGCTCCGTAGTAGAGCGTTGGCCTGCGGTCCAGAGAGACCCGGGTTTGGTTCCTCCCAAGGGCATGTACCCTGGTTGCAGTTTGTCCCCAGCCCTGGTTGGGTGTGCGGGTGGCAGCCACTCGATGTGTTCCCTTCACGTCGATGTTTCTCTCTCTCCCCCCGCCCCCACTCTACCTGAACAAAAAATGGAAACATGTCCTCGGGTGAGGATTAAAAAAAAAAAAAAAATCAATAAAAGGGTATTTTTTTAAAAGTCAATAAAAAACAGGTGTGGCACATTAGTCTGGTTAATATTCATTTCTCTCATCTCCTTTCCAGTAGGGGAATATATAGCACATCTGAAGGCAGGGGAAGGTGCTAGTGAAGAGTGAAAGTTTTGAGATTTATGGTGGACATTTGATTTCAAAATGTAGAGGGGCACGCTCTTTCTCGCTCTTGAACACACCTGCGCCTTTTCCCACCCCCATCTTTCCCCAGAGAGCGCTCTCTCTGGAGCACACTTATGCCATCCCCCTAGCCCTTCACATCCTCCCCATCCCACCCCCCACCCCGTGCATTCTCTCTGCCTTTTCCCTAAACTCTAAGGACCCTTCTTTTGCCTCTGTAACTTGTCTCCTGAGCCCACGCAGCCCAGCTGGCTCACTTCCTCTACCTCTGTAATTCTTAAATAAACTTTTGCTCATTAAAAAAAACCGTACAGCCCTGGCCGGTTTGGCTCAGTGGTTAGAGCATCGGCCTGCGGTCCAGAGAGACCTGGGTTCGGTTCCCGCTAAGGGCATGTACCTCGGTTGCAGTTTGTCCCCGGCCCTGGTCGGTCGTGCGGGTGGCAGCCACTCGATGTGTCCCTTTCACATCGATGTTTCTCTCTCTCTCTCTGTTCCTCTCTCTCCCTCCCACTCTATCTGAACAAAAAATGGAAAAATGTCCTCGGGTGAGGATTAAAAAAAACCAAAAACGTACAGGCAAGTGAGAGAGGGCATTAAAAGTACACTGAGTGCCCTGGCCAGTTTGGCTCAGCGCTTAAGAGCGTCGGCCTGCGGTCCGGAGAGACCCGGGTTCGGTTTCCGCTAAGGGCAGTACTTCGGTTGCAGTTTGTCCCAGGCCCTGGTTGGTCGTGTGGGTGGCAGCCACTCGATGTGTCCCTTCATGTCTATGTTTCTCTCCCTCTCTCCCTTCCTCTCTCTCCCTCCCACTCTATCTGTACAAAAAATGGAAAAATATCCTCAGGTGAGGATAAAAACAAAACAAAACAAAACAAAAGTACACTGAGTGAATCAACTAATTAATGGGGTAAGAGGAAATCAGAAAGGCAAAGAGAAGGGCTTTTTTCTCTAATCTAGAAAGACAAATATTAAGAGATGGAAACAAAAGGAAGAATAAGGAGTTTATAGCTCCTCAATCTTAGCAAAAGAGGGGTAAGGTTATCTACTACAGCCAGGTGAAGAGCAAGGTTTGGAAGAGCTGGGAGGTAGTATGCTATCCTAAGGAAGTCACATATTTTGTATGGTATATGTAATATATTTCTATGTTATTACAATAAAATAGAGAAAAGAAAATGTTATTAAAAAATCATAAGGAAAATATTCACAGTAGCTACAGTAAAAAAAATCCATGTATAAGTGGACCCACACAGTTCAAACTCATGTTGCTCAAGGGTCAACTGTAAAAACAATTTTAAAAAAATTCAAACAGACTTAATGGCTGATTAATAAGCTCATCATTTCATTAAACATCCTTCTGATTAAGACATAACAGAAGGACATAAATATTAACACTTTAGCCCCAGCCAGTTTAGCTCAGCGGCTAGAGCATCGGCCCGCACACCAGACAGACCTGGGTTTGGTTCCCACTAAGGGCATGTACCTCGGTTGCAGTTTGTCCCCGGCCCTGGTTGGGGTCGTATGGGTGACAACCAGTTGATGTGTGTCTCTCTCTCTCACATCGATGTTTCTCTCTCTTTCTCTTCCTCCCTCTCTCCCTTCCGCTCTATCTGAAGATAAATGCAAAAATGTCGAGTGAGGATTTAAAAAAACAAAAAATTAACACTTTATACCCTTCACTGTAAACATCAATCAAATAAATTCAACATCCAAGCTATACATTTTAAAATTGTTTTTATTGAACTAATTTAAACAACACTGTTTTAGTTGGTGGTAGATGCCCCCAACAAAAACAAAGCCATTGTGAATGCTATTCAACGTATTAAAAGTAACCCAGTTTGGTTCTGCACTTGGAATATATTTAAACTTTTGACATCACATAATCAAGCAAATAGCGGTGCATACTCTGTTAATGACTTTATGCATTTCTTTTAAAAAATCATTTTGCAAGTGGCTTCAGCTTTATAAACAACCTCACTGACACATTCCATACTTCATGCTCTCAAAATAAAAGTGCCCTAAAACTAAGTTTCCTTATTGATAATAATGAATACTATCCAAGGTTGTAGATAGGAATAGTAGTTTAATATTTTACAGTATAAGAGGCAATAAGTTACTGATATCAGCTGACACAAATTCCACTCAAACTAAATACATCCTTGATACATTCAAAAAGACATTTTGCAAATATTAATATGCTAGTTTATGTGCTGCAGTGCAAAAGAAGTGACACTCTAACGTTTCCTGAGCTTTAGGAAATTAACATTTTTCTGACTATGACTCAATTTAAAATAGGATCTTTATTATATGAAGCCATGTCAAAACTACGCAATTAAATTAGGTTTTTAGAGAACTGAAAAGATTGGTCAGAGTTATGATGGTTTACAGTAATGAAAACGTTTTCAAAGCAAAATTATTTACAAAACTATAAAGGATACTGTGGATTTGCACGTAGTATAAAGATCAAAGATAATCTACTGATTACCAAATAATCACAATTATTCCTCTTTCAAAAATATTACACTGAAAGACTATGTTAAGTTAAAGCATGAAATATACCAACCTGTAGTATATTAAACATTTTAACACATTTTTGCATAATGCCCAGTAAAAAGAAATGAGATAAAATATTAGAAATCAAGAAAATAAACATGCTTTTAGGAATGTTTCTGCATGTATATAGGACAGGGGAAGTGAAAATTATTTCTCATTAGAACACTATTATCTTCAAAATTACAAAGACCGAGTTTCTACTTCAATTTTTTCTTCTGCTTGTAGTATATCCGGGTCAACGTGAACAACTGGAGGTCGTAGAATAACTTCAGGCCCTCCACCATATATTGACTGTAGAAAATTCCATGTTTCTTCAGAAATTTGACCAGAATCTGCTCCTAAAAGTAAGTGTATATAGAAAGAATAGTATTTACAAATCTACAAATTCATATTGCAAAAGTTTTCATAATGTACCACCTTTCCCCCTCCCCCCACCCCAAAGCATAAATTTTCTATGGATAATTGAGACTTTTGGAACATGAATCTTCAGACTACCAGCCCATATTATCAAAAGCTGCAACTTTATGGTATGTCTTAAAAAGTTAAAAGATCCTTTTTCCTAGCTCCAATCAACAGCCTTAAAATCTTTCTTCAGAAAAATTAAACACTAGCAGCTTTTCCACTATTTGTCCTACTTCATGGATGAATTACATCATTAAGCTGAGTTTAAAAAATGGCACAGATGGCCAGTGATGTCTTAACAGTGACAATAAGTAAAGGCTTAAATGTCAAACTTACCTTGCCTGAGCATTACACTGCCACATTTAGTGATTGCTATTTTAGTGTTATCAATAGGACCTGGAGGATCTACGTTAACAGAAAAAAACAAATAATCAAAATGCATAGTTTTCAAATAAATGCACCAAATAAATGCACATTTCTGTGCCTGAACTAACTGAAGGGTATAACTATACAATCAGATTATTTTTTAGTCAGATTATTACACTAAATTCTCAACTGTCTTCTGAACTTCTTCTTTCTTATGTCTTAGTTCCCCCAAAACAGAGCCAGGAAAGAGAGACTCTCTTACTACCACCCAAAATCTAATTGAAATGATTTCTTAACTATCCAAGTAAAGATTACAGGTTAAAATGCATGTTTAATTATATAAAAGAACAATTCCTTTGTAATTTAAAAAGAAAATATGCAGTTTTTAATTTCTTTCAGATTGTCATTAAACTAAAAACAATAAAAGCATTTTAAAATGAAATGTTAAAATATATCCTTTTTAAATTTTTACTTTTTAATTGAATTTACTGGGGTGAATTGGTTAACAAAATCCTACAGGTTTCAAGTATACAACTCAACACATCATCATCGACATACTGCATCATGTGCCCATCGCCAAAAGTAAAGTCTCTTTCCATGTCCCCATTTATACCCCCTTTGCCCTCTTCCACCTCCCCTGACCCCACTTCCCTCTGGCTATCACTATACTGTTATCTGTGTCTACGTGTTTTACACACACACACACACACACATATATGTTTTTTTTGCTTAATCCCTTCACCTTTTTTCCCAGTCAAAATGTATCCTTTTAAAAAATATGTATTTTTTATAATTGACAGTATTACAGATGTCCCCCATTTTCTTCCCCTTGCCCCCTTCCACCCAGCCCCTGCTCTACCCCAGGCCTTCACCACACTATTGTCTTTGTGCATGGGCTATGCATATATGCATATACATTCTTTGGTTAACCTCACTCCAAAATGTATCCTTTTCTAAGTTAAGAAAACTCCTTATCTGTTTTCCCCTTGAATACAAAAGTACAGTGTGTGTTCATTATCAAAAGCTGTAAAAAAAAAAAAAAAAAAAAAGTACAAGGAAGAAAATACACTGTATTCCTGCTATAAAAAGATAAGCAAATTGTTTTAGTACTTGCGTGGTCTTTTTGCCTTTGCATATGTTTGCTAGTTTTTTAATACAAAAGGTACAAACTATGCATATTGTATTGCAATGTTTTTTACATATCAATAACTTATTTTTTGGGACAATATTACTAAATATTATCACAAAAATTATTTGTAAAGTCCATCTAGTATCCCACTGTAATGGATAAAACCATAATTTAACTAATCTTATTGTTTGGTGGATTATTTTTTCACTCTTCAATATTAAGATCACAGACTGGCCCTGGCTGGTGTGGCTCAGTTGGTTGGGTGTCGTCCGTGCCCTGAAAGGTTGCCAGTTCGATTCTCTATCAGGGCACATCCCCTAGTTGCAGGTTTGATCCCTGGTAGGGGGCTTGCAGGAGGCAGCTGATAGATGTTTTACACTCACATTAATGTTTCTCTCTGTGTCCCTCTCCCTTCCTCTTTCTCGAGAAATCAATAAAAACCACAGACTAATATTGTTTAGTTCCTTTATTCCTACTATGAATGTTATAATTGATGAAACAGATTTTAAGAAAATTAGAAATTCCCAGAACCAGAATATAAACTAGAATGTAAGATCCCTGAGGGCTGGGATTTTTTTTCTCTCTTGTTCACTGCTGTAATCCCAAGTGTATATAGATATTCAAAAAATATTTGTTAAATAAACAAGAAATCTGCACAGAATTTCATTTTTCCGTTAACCACTTACCTCCATCTTTACCCTTCACAAAACTTTCCCATTCTCTAAACCACTGCATACTGATGCAGTAAAAAGTAGCTGGAGAGTCCTCCTCTTGGAATGCTCTGTTGAGCTATAGGGAGGAAAAAAAAAAAATCATTCACCTAATATTTAGAACTTCCTTTGTAGCAGAACAATACAATCATCCTACTTCAGCATCTGACAAGGCCAATTTCTCATACACAAAGAATGTGATGTACACTGATGCTGTTACCTCAGTACTAGCATACATATAACACCTATTAAAAAACAATTCTAGATTATGTCTTAAATTTTAGCAAGTACACAAAGAAAGCACATAAAAGATTGGATAAGTGAAGACAGTCAAGGCAAAGTCTTCAAAACAAATGCTCTACATATTTATTAAAAATCTGATGTGTAAATCTTCTTTAAACATACCATAGTCACTGTCTATATATACTTGTGTTCACTTAAGATATTGGTGGACATGTTGCTATTACAAACACAATGCTGCAATGAATAATCTTATATACATCATTTCACAGACAATATACATATATATATAGAATACATTCTCAAAAGTGGTAGACAGTCCCTGCGATGTTCCACTCCTTCCTCTAGTCCTAATGCCTAAGGAATGGGTCTGTGACTCAAACAAGGCAAAACTCAATTAGAAATGTAAATCTTCAGAAAAGTGGCCTAATGGTTAGAAGGGAGTCATTCCAATGTCAATTCTGTTAGCTATATATTAGGAATACCTTGGTTCCTGAATTTCTGGAGGTCTGGCTATTCAGTTTTTCTTTTTCTTTAATATGTTTTTATGATTTGAGAAAGAAAGGAAGAAAGAGACATAAACATCGATGAGACAGTAACATTGATTGGCTATCTCCTGTATGCCCCACCACTGGGGATTGAGCCCACAACCCAGGCACATGCCCTGACCAGGAATCAAACCGGCAACCTCTTTGTGCATGGGATGACACTCAATCCACTGAGCTACACTGGCCAGGCAATTGAATTTTTCTTTTCAATAAATTTCTTTGTAGCTTAAGTTAGTCATTCTGGCTTCTACTGCTTTCAATTAAAGAAACTCAATTAACAAAAAAACTGGTATAGCCCTGGTCGGTTTGGCTCAGTGGTCAGAGCGTTGGCCTGTGGTCCAAAGAAACCCAGGTTCGGTTACCGCTAAGGGCACGTACCTCGGTTGCAGTTTGCCCCCAGCCCTGGTTGGGTCAGGGCTGTGTGGGAGGCAGCTACTCGATGTGTCCCTTCCACGTCGATGTCTGTCTGTCTGTCTGTCTGTCTGTATCTCTCTCTTCCTCTTTCCCCCTCCCACTCAAGCTGAACAAAAAATGTCCTCAGGTGAGGATAAAAAAAAAATAACTGGTATAGAAAGAGGTGGAGGTAGCAGTGACTGAGGAAAATGATGGGTATTTGGAATTTATCTAACTGTAATAGTGTGAAAAGACAGTGAGAGTCCTAAAAATATTTCATGATGGGCAACTAAATGCCCATAGTACACACTATTGGTGGACAAAAACAAGTTCAGACCATATCTCTCCTATAATCAAATCTAATCAAAACCCTGCCATTGTCCCCAAAGATCCTTATAATAGCCCAGAAGTACCTCCATGATCTGGCCCCATGATTTTATTTCATCTTCTAATACTCTCTTCCTCATTTATTCACTGTGCTCACATGGACCTTTGCTATACCCAGAATCAAGCAAACACATTCCTGCCACTCAAAGTTCTTTCATGCCTATCCCTTCTTTTTGCAGATATCTAAATATCTCCCTCACCTCTTTCAAATGTTTGCTTAAATGTCACCTTCTCAGTGAACCCCATCTTTATCATCCTACTTAAAATTGCACCTCACGCCTGGCAGGAGTGGTTCAGTGACCCATGTACCAAGTGGTCACCAGTTCAATTCCTGGTTGGGCACATGCCCAGGTTTCAGGCTCAATTCCCAGCAGGGGGCGTGCAGGAGGCAGCAGATCAATGTTTCTCTCTCTCCCTTCCTTTCTTTCTAAAATTAAAAAATATATATATACATATATATTTTTAAAAACTGTACCTCACTCCCCTATCATCACTATACTCCTGATCTCTCTTATCCTTTTAGATATTTTCTATTGCCACAGAACTCATCACCTCTACTAGTTACTTATTAAATGTATGTTCTTTGAGGTCAAGGATCTTTCTGGGCATAAGGTATCTGCTTCCACAGAACAATGAAAGGCAATGAAAAATGTGACTGTCTCTGATGGTTAACAAAGAAAGCATGTTTGTCTCAAGATATAGCATTAAAGTTAGGACTTTCTGTGATGTACAACTTATATCTAGAGAACTGAGAGTTCTGGAATGTAATGTCAGACTAATTCTCCCAGATGAATCATTTCAATTCATAGCATTACCTGGTCTGGACACTTTTAGGACTTTCTTTTTCTCTGGCATTAGGCCATTTCGTCCTTACGTGTCTAGGGGAGGACTTTTAAAATTTTAGTTAAGTATATCACCTCATTAATTTAAAAGCATCTGTTTATCTCCAGTTCTGAGAAATTTCTCTAAAATGTTGCTCTAAAAGTAGTTCTGCCCTCTATGCTCTTCTGAAATTCCTATTAAAAAAAAACATTGGAGCCCTGGCCGGTTTTTCTCAGTGGTTAGAGCATCAGCCTCTGGTCCAGAGAGACCCGGATTCGGTTCCTGCTAAGGGCACGTACCTTGGTTGCAGTTTGTCCCCGGCCCTGGTTGGTCGTGCGGGTGGCAGCCACTCGATGTGTCCCTTTCACGTCGATGTTTCTCTCTCTCTCTCTTCCTCTCTCTCGCTCCCACTCTATCTGAACAAAAAATGGAAAAATGTCCTGGGGTGAGGATAAAAAAAAACAAAAACAAAAACAAAAAACATTGGATTCTGTATCTATCCAATATGTTGAAACTTTTGTTTTCTACCTGTTTATCCTTGCACTTCATTTTAGGAGAAACTTTTGCTAGATCTTTCAGTACACTAATTTGCTCTCCAGCAGTATTTATTCTGCCATTCAATCAACCCATCTATTGAGTTTTGTTTTCAGGATATATCCTTATGCATCTCCCTAAGGATTAATATTTATTTTATGCGTAATCTAAGAAATCATAATTCTTTCTATCTAGGTGTTACAAGCCTTCTAGGCATTACACATTAAAGAAGGCTAAGATAGCCCTGGCTGGTTTGGCTCAGCAGTTAGAGCGTCGACCCACGGACCAGAGAGACCCAGGTTTGGTTCCTGCTAAGGGCATGTACCTCAGTTGCAGTATGTCCCCGGCTCCAGTCGGGGTTGTGTGGGTGGCAACCAGTCGATGTGTCTCTCTCTCACATCGATGTTTCTCTCTCTCTCTTCCCCCTTCTCTTCTTCCTGCTCTATCTGAAGATTAAAAAAAAAAAAAAAAAAAAGGCTAAAATAAAGCATTCTTTAACTGACCAAGTGTCCACATTCACTGCTCCATCCAAACAGACACCTTTATGCTGCTGCCTCATACAGTGCAGAGGAGAATGCTGAGGTCATTATTGTATGTCACTTCTAAGCCAAGAAGCCTGTGTGGTCACTTTATATAGCTTTGGTTTACTTTTTCAAGTTTTAAAAAAACTTTTTCTTTATTGATTTTAGAGAGAAAGGAAGGGAGAGATAGAAATATCGATGACAGAGAATATCGACTGGCCGCCTCCTGCACGCCCTGACTGGGGATTTGGCCCACAACCTGGGCATGTGCCCTGACTGGGAATCGAACCTGCGACCTCCTGGTGCATGGATCTACGCTCAACCACTGAGCCACACCAGCTGGGCTACTTTTTCAATTTGATCCTATCTGCTTTTATAATTTTTCAGAAACTTCACTTAATCTCCAGTCTACCAAAGGTACCTATTTTGTATTCCAGTGTTATTATTTATGCCAACACATTGCTTTGTTTAAAAGGTGGGTGTGTGTGTAGAATAAGATGAATTTGGATCATAAGTAAATAGTTAGAGCTGTGTTACTGACAGCGGCACTTTGAGGAGACTTACTTCTTGCAACCTCAATAAATGGAACTGTACTAGTCCTTGTCCATAAAACTTGGTTGTTCAGCCCTCCCTGCTGATTCTAGGATCAGACTTTCTGTAGCTTGCAATCAAGGAACACATAATAAACTCACTTTGAAGAAACTAGGTATATTTATAAGTACAGAGTGTCCCACAAAACAATATTATATCTCACAAAGGGATGGAAATAGAGAATGCAGTCTGGGTAAATGCTTACAGAAAAACACTAACTTAAGGAAACCAATAATTTACGGCCTCAACAAGGAGATTTCTTGCAAGTGCCAATCCATAAAACAAAATTTATTACCAATCCATGAAAACAAAAACCCACAAAAAGAGAACTAACTCATTTCATTGTCGTGATCTGCCCTGTGATATACTCAGAGCACTTAAAGTCTATTGCAACTCTTTCAACCAATCATTTTTAACATAACACGGTTCTGCTAATTGTCAGTTCATCCTAGATCATATTTATAATTTGAAAAGCATCACTTTTTTTACCCGAATAAAAATTTCCAATTCAGTTTTTCTTCTTTTTTCAATTTTCTCTGCCTCAATTTGGCAAGTGTGACAAATGTACAGATGGTTGACTGCTGGTCCTCCTCCATACCTAAAGCATAAAAATTTAATAATTATGATAATCTTGAAAAAGAGCTGATGCTCTAGAAAATTTGTCTCCCACTTTTAGACAATGGTTAAATCCCTAGTAAATAAATCCTCACAGAAAAATTGTCAAATTTAAACTAATGTAAAAATCAAATAATCATAATGGTTTGACTTTATGTTTATCAGGGTCAGCGACTTTATCAGTTTATTAACTAATCTGCTTTACCTATATTTCAACTTTCCCTTATAATTACTTCTGCTACAAATATGATTGAAGCAACAACACAAAGTAAAAGAAGTGGCTTTCAAAACTTAGCATAGAACATATAACTCTTAGTTATACTGCCATACTCCTCATCAACTTTTAATGAGAGGCTTCCCCTGACCTCTCAAGTAAGAATTTATATAATAAATTATTTTCAATATTTCACTAAGAAAATTACATGTAAAATACTTTAAAATAAAATGTAAAACTTTAAAATTTAAGAGTTAAATATCAGAGAATACTTTTACAGATGCAGATAATCAGAGCATAAGAATTACAATTAATTATCTAGACTAGGGACAAACTAGCTACAAAATCTACTGACTCACACTGAATAAACAAAAGAAAAAGGGGACATTCTACTTAAGCAACATAAAGCTCAAGAAGCATATATAAAATAATCCAATCCCCTTCTAATGAGTTTCACAAACTGATTTTCAAGATACCATATTGTCTGATTTAAAAAACAAACCTGCTATATAGGTTATCCCAAATGTTCTGAGGCAGCATCAAAACCAGGTCTTCAATACAACTAGCTTTTCGTGGAGGAACCCCTAAAAAAAAGTTTAGGTGGGTCTATCTCATTCTTAAATTGCTTTATATTACTCTCAAAAGTTAAACTCATTTTTAACTGATTAATCATTAACATTTTTCAATCATTATTCTTGAAATCCCTCCCCAAAAGGTTAAAAATTAAGTAACTAGAACATTTTTGGTGACTATGCTCCTAAAGATGAGTGCATTTCTTGAAATAGAGAAAAATCAGTAAACCAAGATCTTCAAGTATTTAACTTATATAAATCTTTACTAAATCTTAACTATGTAGTGGTGGAAGTCAGAGATAAATAAGAATCCTTTCTTCATGGAGCTTATTTAGTAGCAGAAGAAATGAAACACTTATATAAATAAATGTAATAAGAGGTAGGTACAGATAAATGGCATAAAAGGTTCATGGGGAGATTCAGAACAGGAGGAGCCTTATGTTAGTAGTTCAAGTTGGGGAATGAGAGAAAAATTCACATACAGATATATTTTCAAGGTTTGGGTTTCTAAATCCAATACAGGATATCCCTACTATCTCTTGAGTTTCACTGAAAAACATAATGAGAATATCAAGTCTTCAACCATGAAATGTAATCAAGGTATCACACCAGTGTTATTTTCATAGAAACAAACACTAACATAGCCAATCACAAGTACATAAGTTATATTTAGCGAATAACATTATGAAGTTTTTGTTAAATTCTAAATATATTTTCATACCTAAAAGAAACAGATTTTCATTTAGCAAAAGGGATAGGAGTCACAGATAGGCACACAGTTGGTAGCTGGGTGCCTCTTTGCTGAGAAAAATGGTGTGTAATATAAGTGCTCACTGTACCATAATTGCTTGTTTATGTAACTGTCTCTATTACGAAATTAGAGCTTTGAGAACAAAAATATCTGTTCTATGAAGAGACTACAGATAGTCTACAATTAGAAGAAAAAGCCCAATTTCTGAAACCATAGCAAATTAAACACATTTAAGTTAGATTGCAGATGGGGAAATCAGAAATAAGTGAAAGAGGAAAATTCCTGGGTCTTTCCTAATATGCAAATTACTTAACAGCAAATCCTTACCATTATTTCCATTACAGAATTTCTTACCTCCATGAATACAGAGAAAATCGTTATTTGAGATAGGGCCAGGTTCAGCAAAAGTCTTAAATTTATTCAGCCACTGTTGAGAAATATAAAACTGAAGGAGACTTGGTTCCATTATGTTCAACAAATTTGATATCCTCTGTCTCTCTTTTTGTGCCTCTTCGCTGCTCTTCCTATTAGGAACAAGGATTCTTTAAATTCAATGTGCATTTCATTCTATTAGACTAGTAATTGGGTTTTTTCCTCTTCCTTATTAAACTTACCATATATATTAATACTACTCTTATTAGATCTTGGGAATTATTCAAGCAAAATATACTGTGTATCAGCCCCCAAAACTACATTATACAATTCTAAGGGCAATACGGTATCTTAACTATTGGTATCCATATAAAGATTTATTAACAAATATTTGTTAATAAAATCAATCTAAATAGTTAATCTGTTTGCTGTTTCAGTAGCTAGCACTTAATCTTTTATAAAATTGGTATTGTCAGTACCTATATATTTTTTTTAATTAAAACAAATATTCCTAAAAGAAAATACAGTTGATCTCTGAACAATGCAGGGGATTAAAGCAACCAATACACCCTTCCCCTGTACATTTGGAAATCTGTGTATAACTTTCAACTCCCAAAAACTTAGTTGTCCCTTGGTAGCCACAGAGTATTGGTTCCATCCCCACTGCAGATAACAAAATCTGTGAATGCACAAGCTCCCTATATAAAACTACATAGATCAATACACAAAATTACATAGTTCAATGCATACAGTCAGCCTTCCACATCCACAGACTCCCAACCATGAAGTACAGGTATTTATTGAATACTACAGGTATTTATTAAAAACAATCCACATAAAAACCCATGTTGTTCAAGGGTCAACTGTATATTCCTTTGCCCTTTAATTAAATGATTTAACATTTTCTTAACTGATCGTTCTGCATGCAACCTTTCATTTTATTTTACTCAGATAATGAGAGTAAAACAATTTCTAATCTTTACACAGCAATCTATTTTGAAAGTCTTAGAAGTTACTGATTACCCCAAAGTGAGATGTAATTTTATATTTGTTAAAATAGCCTATCTGTGAGTTATTCCTTACCTGTAAAAAAGAACATAAGCTTCTGCATTTTGTACAGTAGATTCTGAAACACCAGTGACACTCTGATCGTCAAATTCATACCAGAGCTTATTTAAATTGTTTCGGCAGTAGGCAATATAGTGTCCACCTGAATTTAGAAGAAAAAAATTTGAATCAATCAGGAATACCAATAAACTACTTTTATATTCCATTCTTAGCAGAGACTAAGATACAGCAAAAACTATGCTAATATTCTCTTCCAGTATGTATGTAGTATCCTTACCACCAATATTTGAATAAATGTAAATAAGGGTAGAAAATGTAATCTTAAAAATACCCAGGGTAAAAATGATGTTAAAGAATTATTATTTAACTATATACAAAATACAATTTCTAGTATTTCAAACTTCAGTTAAATTATTTAATTTCCTAAAAAATTTTAATAACCAAAATTTTAAACTAAATAAATAAAATTCTATTTAAAAATTTTTTCTTTTGTTCAATCAGGTCTTACTTAAAAGATCAACTCAGCGCTGGCCGGTTTGGCTCAGCGGTTGGAGCATCAGTCTCTGAACCAGAGTCCTGGGTTTGGCTCCCGCTAGGGGCACGTACCAAAAAATAAAAATAAATAAAATAAAATAAAATAAAAGATCAACTCAGATATTTACTATTTTTAATTTAACCTAAAAACATATGTCAAACCTGTATACTTACTACTTGCAGTTCCATGATGACAAATGACTGACAGAAGATCATAGGTAACAATTTGAGCTGGACTATCTTTAGCAAGAAATGGCTGAAGATCTAGGCCTTCCAGTGGAAATGAAACATGGGTACTGATTTTGGTGGAAAACATCAGTTCATGTCTGAATCTTTTAAGATGGATACATAAAATCTAAAAGAGAAAGGCAATATTAAGATTCTGTTGCTAATTATATGCTAGATAAAGGATAATTTCAATAGGTTATACATAGCAACTAGTCAATAGAAATAGTCCATTCTTTACCCCATACTAAAAATTTACTACTAATGCTTTATGTTCCTACCAGATAAAATAAGTTGAATTATAATAAAGCCCATACCTCAGGAAACTTTTGTACTTTACAAAACTTTACTCCATTCCTCAACCTAAAGGAAGAAATGAGAAAAACAGTTAAAATAAACCCATTTCCCATATGAATTGACAAAAACTTTATATTTTCAAATATTCAATAAAATATTTTAGAAAATGCAGAGACAAAAGGCATCAGACTAGAAATGCTCACTACTGCCTGGCTGGTGTGGTTTCAGTGGATTGCATGTCATCCCATAAACTGAGAGGTCCCAGTTCGATTCCCAGTCAGGGCACACACCCCGGTTACTAGCTCAATCCCCAGTGGGGGCAGTGCAGGAGGCAACCTATCGATGTGAGAAACATAGATGTTTCTCTCCCTTCCTCTCTCTCTTAAAAAAAAATCATTAAATACATATTTAATAAAAGAAACATTAAAAAACGCCCTGGCCAGTTTGGCTCAGCGGTTAGAACGTCAGCCTAAAGACCAGAGTCGCGGGTTCAATTTCGGTCAAGGGCACATACCTAGGTTGCGGCTTGACCCCTGGCCCTGGTTGGAGTCGTCAGGGAGGCACCCAATCGAGGTGTCTCTTTCTTCTTTTTTTTTTTTTATCCTCACCCGATGACATTTTTCCATTTTTTGTTCAGGTAGAGTGGGAGGGAGAGAGAGAGAGAGAAACATCGACTTGAAAGGGACACATCGAGTGGTTGCCACCCACATGACCCAACCAGGGCCAGGGACAAACTGCAACCGAGGTACATGCCCTTAGCAGGAACCGAACCCAGGTCTCTCCGGACTCCAGGCCGATGCTCCAACTGCTGAGCCAAACTGGCCAGGGCTCAAGGTGTCTCTTTCACATCGATGTTTCTCTCTCCCTCTTCACCCCCTCCTCTCTCCCTCCCTGTATCTGAAAGTCAATGGAAAAAATATCCTCGGGTGAAGATTTTTAAAAAAGCTTACTACTGAATTATATGCTACACATTTAAAAATAATACACACTAATAAAACATGGGAGTACCTTATTGTAAAAAATTATTTAAACTAAGATTCAGTAATAAAAATGCAGTGAGTTGTGTGATTCTTTGAAGGAAATTAAATTTTTTATAATGAACAATCAAAACAGAAACAAACTCATAGATATAGGGAACAAAATGATGGTTGCCAGATGGGAGGGGGGTTAAAGGTGAAAAAGGTGAAGGGATTAAAAGTACAACTGGAAGTTACAAAATAGTCATGGGAATGTAAAGTACAGCATAGGGAATATAGTCAATAATATTGTAAAAACTATGTATGGTGTCAGATGGGTACTAACTTATCAAGGCAATCTCTTCGTAAGTTATACAAAGTGTCTAACCACTATGTGTACACCTAAAACTAATATAATACTGACTGTCAACTATAATTTAAAAGAAAATTTAATTTTTAAAAATATAAGTCCTACTATCTATGACCTGGTTACGCCTTTATCAACACCCAGATTATCATGTAAAACTGGGTAAAATAAAATCCCAATATAATAGAATTGTTTGGTCATGTCAATATATTATAACCATTATTCTTAAAAAAAAAAAAAAAATTTTTTTAAATTACCACAGAATTGGCCTGTCTTGGCTCCTGCTTCAAATATTCCTAAATTCTCTCAAACAAACAGCATCTGGCCTCAGTGAGCCCCATACATCTCACTAAGTGGCCCCAAGCCTGGCACTAGAAGCAGCCAGCCTTGGTTCACATCTTGGATTTTCCTGGGCACCACCAAGCCCAGCACAAGAAGCAGCCATCTGCAGATCACTTTGTAGCTTATGCTGGGTGGCCCCAGATAGAACACAGGCAATGACTGACCTTGCCCCAGAGCCAGCAAACCCAGTGGACAGCTTCATAACACGTCAAAGCAGTACTACCCAGCCACCTCCACAAGTGATACCCTCCAGGAGTGGATCAGTGGGTTTCCAGAGCCCTGCTAAAGTAAATCTTGCTTGGTGCGGTGGGCCCCTGCAGAACTGATCCTCCAAGGCAGGCAGAAGCCAGTGGTCACTAGGCACAGCCAGTCCTTGCAGCTGATCAGCCTGAGTAAATCCCTCCCACTGACGCACCAACAGTAATCTAGACTCAATTACAACAGAAGGGAGTACAGTCCACACGAGGGGTGCACCTCGAGGGCCCAGCTGGGTGATCAGGGAGGCTGTGCCACTGGACCCTACAGGACACCTACTACAATAGGCCCTATGAAGCCTAGGAGACTTAGCAACTCTATCTAATACATAGAAACAAACAAAGGGAGAGAGCCAAAATGAGGAGACAAAGAAACATGTCCCAAATGAAAGAATAGAACAGAACTCCAGGAAAAGAACTAAACAAAACGGAGATAAACAATCTAATACATGCAGAGTTCAAAACATTGGTTATAAAGATGCTCAATAAACTTAGTGAGGACCTCAAGAGCATTAAAAAAGGGCTAGACAGAAATGAAGGATGTGCTAACTGAAATAAAGAATAATTTACAGCGCCCTGGCCGGTTTGGTTCAGCGGTTAGAGCGTCGACCTGCGGTCCTGAGAGACCCGGGTTCGGTTCCCGCTAAGGGCATGTACCTCGGTTGCAGTTTGTCCCCGGCCCTGGTTGGTCGTGCGGGTGGCAGCCACTCGATGTGTCCCTTTCACGTCGATGTTTCTCTCTTTCTCTCTGTTCCTCTCTCTCCCTCCCACTCTACCTGAACAAAAAAATGGAAAAATGTCCTCGGGTGAGGATAAAAAAAAAAAAAAAAAAAAAAAGAATAATTTACAGGGAATCAATAGTAGAGTCAATGAAGCCAAGAAGCAAACCATCGATTTGGAATACAAGGAAGCAAAAAAACACCCAATCAGAACAGCAAAGAAAAAAAAAAAGAATCCAAAAAAATGAGGACAGTGTAAGAAGCCTCATGGACAACTTCAAGCGTACCAATATTCACATCATGGGGGTGCCAGAAGGAGAAGAGAGAGAGAAATTGAGAACCTATTTGAAACAATAATGGCAGAAAACTTCCCTAACTTGGTGAAGGAAACAGACATACAAGTCCAGGAAGCACAGAGAGTCTCAAACAAAATGAACCCAAAGAGGTCCACACCAAGATACATCATCAAAATGCAAAAGGTTAAAGACAAAGAGAGAATCTTAAAAGCAGCAAGAGAAAAGCAGTTAGTTTCCTACAAAGGAGCTCCCATAAGACTGTCAGATGATTTCTCAAAAGAAACGTTGCAGGCAAGAGATATTCAAAATGATGAAAAGCAATGACCTACATCCAAGATTACTCTATCCTGCAAAGCTATCCTTTAGAATCGATGCACATATAAAAAGTTTCCCAGACAAGAAAAAGCTAAAGGAGTTCATCACCACCAAACCAGTGTTATATGAAATGATGAAGGGCCTTTGTGAAGAAAGAGATTAAAAATGTGAACAATAAAATGGCAATAAACAATTATCTATCAACAATTGCATCTACAAACAAAATGAACAAGCAGAACAGAAACAGACTCATAGATACAGAGAACTTTTTGATGGTTGCCAGATGAGAGGGGTGTTTGGGGGATGGGTGAAAAAGGTGAAAGGATTAAGAAGTACAAATTGGTTGTCAGACTGAGGAACCTCAAAGGGCAGGGGGAAGAAGGGGAGGCAAGAGATAAACCAAAGAACTTATATGCATATATACATAACCAATGGACACAGACCATAGTGTGGAGAAGGCCAGGAGAGGGGTGGAAGTGGGGAGGAGGGGGTCAATGGGGGAAAAAAAGAGGGACATCTGTAATACATTCAACAATAAAGGTAAGTTTAAAAAAATAAAATTTAGCCATGGCTGGTTTTGCTCAGCGGTTAGAGCGTCGGCCCACGGACTGAAGAGTCTCTGGTTCAGTTCCAGTCAAGGGCATGTACCTCGGTTGCAGCTTGTCCCTGGCCCTGGTCGGGGTTGTGCGGTAGGTAACCGATTGATGTCTCTCTCTCATGTTGATGTTCTTCTCTCTTTCTCTCCTCCCACCCCCACTCTATCTGAAGATAAATGGAAAGATACCCTTGGGTGAGGATTAAAAAAAAAAATTGGGGGAGGTAACTTTGGTCAATTATTATTTAAGTTTCAAGTGTACAATTCTATAATACATCATGTGCTGACCACCCAAAGTCTAGTCTTCTTCCATCACCATATATTTGACCCCCCTTCCCCTATGGTAACCACCATACTGTTGTCTGTGTCTATGAGTTTGTTTGTTGGTTTTTTTGTACATTTGTTGCTTTCAGTTTTATATCCCACATATAAGTGAAAAAAATTATATGGTTCTTGTCCTTTTCCATCTGACTTATTTTGTTTAGCATAATACTCTAAAGACCCATCCATGCAGTTGCAAATACAACCTTCACTCTTAAATGTGGAAACAACTTGAGATAAATAAAGGCTGATTATTACTAATAATTGATATTAATATATACTTGACAGATCTCTACTTTGGATTTGGGAGTAGATGCAAGATTCTTTTCCATCTTCTCTAGTATTATCTTTGTCTTAGTTGGTGAATTTTTTTCAAACCAGGTCCCCCCCGAGGCCAACACCCTTTAGATATAGCTTTAAGGACAAACTGACAATACTTTCCAATTCTCTAAAAGTGTAATTTTTTCTAGAAAGTACAAGGCAGCCTTTCATCCTTATTGACCAAGTAGCTGCTGATCAACATTTCTCTGTGGTTACTGCCAACAGTCAGAGTTTGTATTATAAAGATTCTAGATCTTTTTAGGAGGTAATTATTTTTCTATTACAGAGATTTAAAAAATATTTACCGTTTCACTATCCCAAACATACTTGCCTTCAATTTACCAATTACTTTTCTAACTTACCACCAAGCCTTAAAAACATGAATTTATTATAGCACACAACAAGGCAACTACTAGTAGATATAAAGAAACAAAATAATGCTTTGCTTAACTGTTTTTCTATTCTGCCATCAACACAGCAGTAACATCAAAGTTGGTAGAACCTTTCTCAGTTTTACATAGATTTGAAACTGGGTACATTTACAACTACCTTCACTTCCTGGATCTAGTCTGATAACATGATAATCCATAAGAGAATATCCCTTATTTATGATGATAAAACTTAATCTATGTAATGAAAACATGTTATATATTCCAGTATAGCTTTTATAATGCATGTGTAATGTTTTATATAAAATTACATTTATTTTAAATCTCAAAATATACTTTCACATATTAGATAAGCCTATTAAATTTAACATTTTGCCTCAAATTTGTTTTACAGAACAACCAGCCTCTCTATTTTTATTAAGACAAAGTTTTACTAGCCTTTATTTTTCTAAATAAAGCCAAATTTTAACTCCACATGCCCAATTCAAATAACCAAAAAACCTCCCCAAACCAAAACAATTTAAAATACAGAACATGCAATTAAAAGCAATGTCAATGACACTTACTTTTTGCATTTTTCACAACTGTACATATTGTCACCTGAAAACAGAACAGATCTGGTCATTCCTCTCAAATTAAAAGCAGTGTCTTTTCTTTTGGTTCTGCAATTATTTTGAGCTTGCCACATGCTAACCTTGTAGCACAGTACCACACGGCTCACATTTTTTAATCTCTGCTTAAGAGTCAGCCCATATTGTGTACCTTGCCTAAAGCACTTTTGACCTCCCTCTCTTTTTAACCTTGAAGGCCTCTCTTTTTCAAAATTCTTTTCTTTATTGATTTCAAAGAGAGAAGAAGAGAGAGGGAGAGAGAGATAGAAAGAGAACATCAACTGGCCACCTCCTGCATGCCCCTCACCGGGGATTTGGCCCACAACCTGGGCATGTGCCCTGACCAGGAATCAAAACGGCGACCCCTTGGTGCATAAGTCGATGCTCAACCACTGAGCCACACTACCCAGGCATTGAAGGCCTCTCTTAAAGAACATTCTTTCCATTTACTCACTCAACAAAATTTACTGACTGCCTGTTAGATATCCAAGCAAGGTGCTGGACATATAAAAATACTGAAAGATCTTAAATATTATGGAGGAATTCCCCTTCACAGAGTAGTTCAGATATATATAAGTCTTTTAATTAGTTGAATTTCCCCTTCTTGGAATCCCTGAGCAGTCTTAAGACACCTCACATATCGTCTTGTACTATAGGAACTTCTATAAATTATTTCAGGATATGATTTGAAGTATTTATATCACCATGGTAGATACTGGCACTATGGCAGTAAGAGCAAGTACTACTTAAGCTCCTTAAAATTTAGCTTTTATGAATACATTTTTAATTTAGTCCTACTAATATTTTAAATAATTTTTTTTATCCTCACCTGAGGACATTTTTCCATTTATCTTCAGACAGATTAGGAAAGAGGAAGAGAGAGAGAGAGAGACAGAAACATCAATGTGAGAAAGACACATCGAATGGCTGCCTCCTGCACGACCCCAACCAGGGCCGGGGACAAACCACAACCGAGGTACATGACCTTGGCCAGAATTGAACCCAGGTCTCATTGGTCTGCGGGCCGACGCTCTAACCGCTGAGCCAAACCGGCCAGGGCAGTCCTACTAGTATTTTAGATCACTCACAACAATTTAGCCATAGATGAAAACTGTTTTATATTTCTTACCTTTTAGTTCATCTCTAGTGAAGAAGGCAGCTAGACAATCTTGCAAGGTTACTATTGGACCCCAAAACCAGCTAGGGACACATGAGACAACAAACCTGAAACATTATTGATAGAAAAAGAAAAAGGAAGTGTTCTGCCAGTATAGCAGAAACAGCAGTTTCAACAATCAATCAATTTTTTAAAAATGCACACATACCTCTTCACATATTCCATGAAAAAAGCTATCCACCCTTGTGGAGCATATGCTTCTCCACATGATCCTGCTTTGACTATGGAAGTTGGATGACTCGATGAATGCAGCTTAGCAAGGTCTTCCTTGCCAGGAATAGGCAAGGATAGATCTTGAAAGGTCTCCAGGGTTACAGACACCTAAAATTGTTTGTGTTTTAAGGATGGGATGGAAACAATCCAGTAAACACATTTATGAGGACAGATGTTATACTGCAAAGATCAAATCAAGTTATAATAAACAAACATCAAACTGCTTTATGGTAATAACAACAGCAAACTATTTGCTCTGTACCAAGTGCTGTTCTAAATTTAATCTTCCCATATAAACCTTGTGAGATAACTACTAAGATCCTATTAGTCAAGGACACTGAAGCATGGAGAAGTATCACACATCCAACCACTGTGACGTGAGGTCCAAACTCTTAAGCACTACTGCATTTATTTTTGGAAATGACCTCTCATGATAGTTTTTAAATGTTGTGTTTTTTTTTAAAGTTGTAAAACCTAGCATGTAATTTTTAAACAGCTGAAAACAGTTCAGGATAAGTCCATTTAAATATTTGGTACCAAATTAGCATACATTGAAATGACCCTACTGGAGGTCCTTAGGTTTGACTTAAGATTTTCACACAATGATTGAAAACTTACTTCTGTGGGGTTTTGTTGTTGGTTTTTTTTTTTTTTTTTTGAGAGATGTCATTTTAATTTCAGTAGTTATATTCAATCCTGCACTGAAGTAAAACCATTCTTAAGAAAAGTTCAGAGAAACTCAGGGATTTAGAGGTATTATTAAAGCACTAATGATAATTTTAATGTATGCTCTTATGTATGAATCTGAACCTTTATTCTCCCATTCCAATCTTACGGGAAAGTATTCACAAGCTATACAACCAAAAGTAGAAGGTACAATCACAGTCTAGTGCCTGTGAACAGCAACAGTTTCCCAGCATATTAATTTCATCAGCCTTATAAGAATATGCATGCTACCAGTTCTTATTGCTGAGCAACATATTACCTTTATATGTGACTAGAGATGAAGAATGGCGTTAATTCTTCCTGCTAATGCAAGCCTGTCCAATGATGGGTCAAGACTCATCCTTTAAGAACTATGTTGCTATTACTTCCAAAAAACAATTCTACTCTTAGAATCAATTATACTGATGTAAACACAAGAAACACTCATCAGCAGCTCCTTGCTACTGATGAGGAGTTAAACTTTTCATACCACTTTGTCATTTTTTTAAAAACCAACATTTAACAAAAAATTTGTGTATTATAATTCCTTCATACTCACCCGGTCACAAGTTAGACACTGCACTGAACTAATGATTGTTCCATCAAATATGTCTGAAATAACACTTCGGTATTTCTTGTGCTGTTTTTTTCTCTTTGGGGATGATGCAGATTGAGCTAGGACTGAGAAACAAGTGTTGAAATTTATTTTAAAAAATCAAAGTAGTTCCTTTAGCATTTTTCTCTGGAATCTTTAACAGTAAGATTTACTATGCTGAAGAAATACCATTCAAGAGCACTGCTTAAAAGAGAGAGAAACCAAGTGAAATAGAAGAGGTTTAGTCTCCCCATCTTGACTTCAACCAGAACAGTTTAGCTTTTACTTGTTTGTTTTTTATACTAAGTAAAGCTATATTTGAAGAATTGATTCTATAATTAAGTTCTGAGAGTTCTTTATATAGTCTAGATACAAGTGCTTTGACAGTTACGTGATTCGCAAATATTTTCTCCCCATCTCATCTTTTTTTCACTCTTAATAATGTCTTCTGCCAAGAAAGTTTTACATTTTTTTCTTTTATAGATCATGCTTTTGATTTCTTTAAATAATTCTTTGTCTAACACAAGGTGATTAAGACTTTTTTCCTATGTTTTATCTAAGAGTTTAATAGTTTTACAGTGTATAATACTGGAACTCTCATTCATAGCTAGTAGAAACACAAAATGATATAACCACTCTTGAAAACGTTTCATACGACATTAAGCATAAAACCTAATAACCCCACTTCTAGGTCTTTACACAAATGAAAAATTATGTTCATAGAGAAACCTATATACAAATGTTTATAGCAGCATTACTCATAATTGCCAAAAACAGGAAACAATTAAAATTTCCCTCAATGAGTGAGTGAATAAACAGTAGTATAGTCAGGCAATGAAATAGTAATAATATAAAAAGAAACTATTCAGACATGCAACGTGACTATTATCTCAAATGCATTACACTACATAAAAGAAGCCTGTTTCAAAAGACTACATACTGTATGATTCCATTTATATGACATTCTGAAAAGGCAAAACAATAGAGAAGAGGGCAACAGAGCTAGTGCTTAGAAAGGAGTAAGTGGATGGTCTGAACAAGAAATAGTATAAGGGAATTCTTTGGAATGTTGGAATTGTTATATATTCTGTTTGTGGTGGTGGTAACAAGAATCTATGCATTTGCTAAAACTCAGAACTCTAACCAAGAGTAAATTCTGTTGTATGCAAATTTGTGCCACACATAACAAAAGAAATTAAATCATGGCTGTGTAAAATAATGCTGTCAATGATAAAGGATTGAATACGATTTCATAACTAATACTTTAGATGATCAAAACAAAGTAACCTGAGTAACTGAAACATCTACCTTTTTTCTGGGTGGGTGCCATTCCTGGCCACAAATTGCCTGATTTGGGAGGGCTTGCTGATAAACGTGGATTAACCCCTTCATTTGATGGAAGGATCTGTGGTGTGGACAGGTCATTCAAATGGACATCAGTAATATATTCTGTAATATTTAAAATTTGTGTTATTACCTTAAATAGTAAATTATTCCACCTGTCAAATAATTATGTTAAAGGTTTCTTCATTTGAGATTTTGAACACAAGTCACATTAATAAATGTTGGGTGAAATACTTGATAGACAAAGTGCTAAGGGAAGTAACAGTGATTTTCCCCCCTATGAACACAATTAATATTTATAAGACATTACTGTTGTAGACAATTCAGAAAGTGAGTAGTGGAAATATAAAGCCAAAGAGAATCATATTTGTCCTTATTAATATTTTAAAAAAGATATTTAGGGCATTTGTTTTAAAAAAAAAAAGCTTTTAAAACAATGTGGGAGAAAAAGATCATCTTCCCAAACTAACATAGTAATCAAAATCTAAGAAGAAATTTAGGCATAAAATAATTATAAAACTATTTTATTCTTACTTTGATAAACAAAAATTGACACCTGTCGGCGAATAACCTTTTTGGGAATTAAATTATGAATCAAGAAAATACAAGTTCTATGAGTGCTATCTTGATAGTTTGCTGTTGGAGTCTCAGTACAAAACATGCATTCCAGAGTAAGGGACTGTGCTCAGTAAGTTTTTGGGTAAAGAAAAGAAAATTGTGCCCTGGCCGGTTTGGCTCAGTGGTTAGAGCGTCGGCCTCTGGTCCAGAGAGACCAGGGTTCGGTTCCTGCTAAGGGCACGTACTTCGGTTGCAGTTTGTCCCTGGCCCTGGTTGGTCGTGCGGGTGGCAACCACTTGATGTGTCCCTTTCACATAGATGTTTCTCTCTCTCTCTCTCTCTTTCTCTCCCTCCCACTCTACCTGAACAATAAATGGAAAAATGTCCTCGGGTGAGGATTAAAAACAAAAAAATTGTTCCTAAGAGACCCTGAAACAGAATAACCGCAGGAGTTTTTCCAGATAATGCAAAATAAATTACTTCACATAGGCATTCCTCATTATCTCCACCAGGACTAAAAGCAGACTGCTTTTAGAGGGAGAGAGGGGAGGAGACTCACTCTAGGCCTTTCTGAAGGGAATAAAGTTAACATGAGCTAGGTCAGGGATTGGTAAATGTTTCTTGTAAAGGATCAGATAGTAAATATTTTAGGTTTTGTGTGCCATATATGGTCTTTATCAAATCAGGTCTTTAAAAAATGTAAAAGCTCAGCTTCCTGTTCTAGGTCATCAATTAGTTACTATGTATAAGAACAAACCTACTATGGAGCAATAAACAAGGAGTATATTCCTTAACCAGGCTTTTTACAAGGACGGCTGGACAGCAGTCTAAGCTAAGTATTTCAGTGCTGACATTTCATATATTTATTAACTATTCAACTTCTAAATATATCTAAACTTCTAAACATAAAGACAGTATAATTAAGGAGCCTTACACATTTTCCTGACTAGAAGGCATTTATGCACTGTACACAGGTCAACCACAAGCATTCCTCTGGTTAAGAAAACATCCTTTTCCTCAAGGAATTTTGGGTTCATTCAAATACCTAAATAAACTGTTTAGCAGTTCTTACTCTTCAGTAATTACAGAAGATAATACACTATTTTTGGTACTTGTCTGCCACTTATTTTAAGATCAGAAAATCTGAACCTCTGATGATTTAATTTTACGTGCTTTGGAGAAGTAAATACCATATTAAGCAAAGGTAAGTTAACTCTTGAAGAAATAAATTTAAAATACAAAGCAGTCTAGCTCAATATCTTTCATTTGACCCACTGCTCTTTCTCAAAGGAACACTGACTATTCTTAGAATATATCATATGAGGTTCAGTATAAACTCCTACACTAACACCAAATATTTCGTAGCTGATATGACTCCAATCTAAATATAATAGTGTATAAGTTTACAAAACTGCAATTGAATTACTTTGCTTTTTCCCAGGATCTGAACAGAATCTGTTTGAAATGTCATAAACTTAATACTCATATGCATATACTGTTAAACTCTACTAGTTAGAAAGCCCAAACATAACTATTTCATTCTCTTTTTCTTCAGATTAGTATGGTTAAACTATAATGTCACACACTACACACAAAATACTAAGCCAAAATTATTAATCATTCTATTTCGTTTTTATTATGCTAAATATAAACTGGTAAATTAGAACTGTTTTTTAAAAATATGTTTTTATTGATTTTTTAGGGAGAGAGACAGATAATCATAGATCTGAGAAACATCAATAAACTGCCTCTTGCACAACCCCTACTGGGGATTAAGCCTGCAACGCAGGCATGTGCCCTGACCAGGAATTGAACTGGGACCTCTCAATCCACTGAGCCACACTAGCCCGGCAGAAGTATGTTTTGATTTTAGCCATATGCCATGATAATTTTCCCTCAGAAAATCTGAAAATGATGAAATTAAAAGTATAATCTTAAATACAAATATAGTATCATCTTACACCCACTGTGTACCAGTGAAACACTACCATTTTCAAATTATTAAAATCGTCACCTGAGCCCGGTCAGGGTACGTGCCCAGTTGTGGGCCAAATCCCCAGTGGGGAACATGCAGGAGGTGGCCAGTCAATGCTCTCCCTCATCAATGTTTCTATCTCTCTCTCCCTCATCCTTCCCCTCTCTCTCAAATCAATAAAGTAAAAAATATATTAAAAAATAAAATAAACTCGCCACCTGAAGCTCTGCTGTGGATTTGCACTTTGACCGTCTCCTGGTTATTCAAATCAACTGTTTCAGACACAGAGTCTTTATCTTTATCTAATTCTCCTTCAGAATTTACTTTAGTAATCTTATTACACATCTTCTCTTTTTGCCAATCTTTTGACATTTCTGAATTGTTCTCATCATCTTGAATTAACATCGTTGTCTCATTATTATCTTCAGAAAAGCCTCTAGAGCCATTGTCATTTTCAGCTTTATCACTGCTGCCACAAGATTCACAGGACTGAAAATCTACATCTGATTGGCTCTTGTCTTCTTCCATGGCCTCCTCAGTTGTTATTGTTTGAGGATCTTCTTCTACTTCCATGACCTGTTCTTTCAATTCTTCATGAAGCAGATCCATTAAACATCGAAGGAATTCTTGAGCATCCTAATATAAAAGCAAAACAGATATTACTGCTTCATTAAAAATGTCTATGCATGTAGAAACTTAAGGAAAAATATGCAGAATCTGGTTATCAACTACATGTGTAGCATTATACTGAGGAAACACAACTTTGTAGAACCATAAGGTATTGGAAGTGTGGAAAGCACTAAGTTCTAAAAAGTTATATAAACAAAACAGAAGTAATTATAAAACTGAAGATGATCTGGAGGTCAGCTTTAAGTAGTACTGCTAATTTTAAAAAGTAGAGGAGTAAAGTATAAAAAAAACATGGATTTGCTTCATGTGACGATTCCAAGAGATGTCCTACATTCCAATATTTTATAAGTGTAGCTTAAAATTAAAACTTTATCCCATCTTGTACTACATCCAAAGAGAAATCCTTAATCAAGCTGAAATGCTTATTAAATATATAAATTTGTAGGTCCCACCTCATATCCACAAAATCAATCTCTGGTGATCCAGGAATTTGCACAAGAAAAAATGAACAGAATAGGTATTGTTTTGAAAAAGAAAAATATGTTAGGGCCGGGTAAGAATATTTGGCTCAGCGGTTAGAGCGTTGGCCTGCGGTCCGGAGAGACCCGGGTTCGGTTCCTGCTAAGGGCACGTACTTCGGTTGCAGTTTGTCCCCGGCCCTGGTTGGTCGTGCGGGTGGCAGCCACTCGATGTGTCCCTTCACGTCGATGTTTCTCTCTCTCTCTTCCTTCCTCTCTCTCCCTCCTACTCTATCTGTACAAAAAATGGAAAAATATCCTCGGGTGAGGATAAAAAAAAATAAAAATAAGAATATTAAAAGATATTATATAAAGCTACAATAATTGAAACTATCATTGGTACTAATAAAAAAAATGTAGGTCAATGAAATAGATTAGAAAGCCCAGAAACAGACTATTTTTTATATTAATATAAGGAAGAAATTTTTAAAATCATATTTAGAAAGTCTTAAATTTAGTTTGGTATAATTTGTTAGCTGCTTATGAAAAATAAAATTTGGATCATATTGTAATATGAAATAAATAACATTTATTGAAGAATTAAAGCTTTTAAAAATGAAAGCATAAAGATATAGAAGTATAGATGAAAATGTATCTCTGATGTGGAACTTTTCAAAGCTAAAAGCGAAGAAATATATTGATATATTTACCCACCTAAAATTTAAAATTTGTAAAAAAATATAAAATTAAAATAAGGTTAGAAAAATATATGCAAAAAATAAAAGATTATCCTTGGTTAATAAAGATACAAAGGAAGAAAATAAAAATAAATTATATAGGAAGAAATACAAATCATTACATAATAGCATAACGTATAATGGCATGTTGCAAATTTATTAAAGATGAATATTATGAATAAAAAGCAGTGAAGACTTACCTGCTGAGAATACCCTCGAAATGTTGGATTTACAGTTTTAATTCCTTGAAACAGATTAGTAGGCACAACAGATCCTGGTCTAAGGAAAAAAACATTTTTAATGAGAAATTTGTGATTTTTTGTTTACTTAGAAATTAGTAATCAAGAATTGAAGGCATTAGCCCTGGCCGGTTTGGCTCAGCGGTTAGAGCGTCGGCCTGCGGTCCGGAGAGACCCAGGTTCGGTTCCTGCTAAGGGCACGTACTTCGGTTGTAGTTTGTCCCCGGCCCTGGTTGGTCGTGCGGGTGGCAGCCACTCGATGTGTCCCTTTCACATCGATGTTTCTCTCTCTCTCTCTCTTCCTCTCTCTCCCTCCCACTCTATCTGTACAAAAAATGGAGAAATGTCCTCGGGTGAGGATTAAAAAAAAAAAAGAATTGAAGGCATTAAATTGGAAAGTGTTTGTTTCAAAAAAGCATTCAAAATTGCCCAGTATTGTGTTTCATAGGCTTGTCAGAACAGCTTATTGCTGCTATTTAGGGTACATTTTATTGTTCTGTTCTCTAATGAAATGATCATACTCTACTACATAATGTTTCAAAAAAACTTAAGTACTTAAAATAAAATTTCAATTACTTAAAATTTCTGGGTTAATTAAGGTAAGTGTACCTAGTATGCTATCTAAATAAAAATTTAAAACCAGACATCAAATACCCATGAAAAGTAAACCAATATATGAGATTTAATTACTTAGAAGTCTGTACTATGACACTTCTGAAGTTTAGTAAACTTCCAGGAATATTGAGTTTAAAGTTGAGTTCAGGGCGAAGAAGCTTAAACATAGCAGTTAAGGGCTACTTCTAGCTATGTAGAAAGGTTCCTTAGAGAGCCTATAGCAGCATTGGATAATACCCAATAGGAATAAAGGACAATGAAGAATCCCAGTTCTTTCATGTTAACAATGTAAATGACATTTACTTTCCAAAGAACTCTTTAAAACCATCCTCTTGTCCTAGGATACTGAAATGACAGTAGCAACAAATTTTTGTTTAACTTAAGAAATACTCTTAGTAGAGTCAAATATTGCAAAGAAAACTGGGTAACTTATGGATATAAAATGTTAAAACTTGAAAAACTACTAAAATTTTTTTAAAAAAAAATTTTTCCCTTTATTGACTTTAGAGAGAGAGGAAGGGAGAGGGAGAGAGATAAAAACATCGATGAAAGAGAACATTGACTGGCCGCCTCCTGCATGCCCCCCACTGGGGGTCAGGGCCACAACCTAGGCATATGCCCTGACGGGAATTCAATCAGCAACTTCTTGGTACATGGGTCAATGCCCAACCACTAAGCCATACCAGCCACACAACTACTGAAATTTCTACATTAAAAACTATTAAGCTCTCAGCAGCCTTGCATAAAAGCAAAATTTAGTCAAGATTTTAAAGATACAGCTTTGGTGTTTGTTTTCTTAGGGGTTAAGTTGGGTGGGCAGTTCTTAGGAATCATCAAAAAGGGCTAATGGTAAAAACAGTTTTATGAATAGCTTTAAAAGAAAATTAATAAAATATTACAACAATTATTCTTCTAATGCTACACTTTAAAGCAAATAAACATAAGCAGAAAAATGAAAATTCGTACAGGTATCTAATGGTCTGATTTTAGCACTGTGAGAATGCTTACTCCTTCACTAAAACTCAAGTTTCATCAATAGGAGCTTCAGCAATTCAACACTGTATTCCATATTCAGTTTCAAATATAACATGCCCCAAAGTGAACTTGTCTCAAATCAGTCTCTACATTTTTCAGCTCTACAAATGCACCAGCATCCTTTTAATATTTATGATATTTTTATAAATTTTTTTAAATTTACTGATTTTAGAAAAAGAGGAAGGGAGACATCGACTTCTTGTTCCACTTATTTATGCATTCATTGGTCGATTCTTTTTTTAGTTTACTATTGACAGTATTACAAATGTCCTCAATTTTCTCCCCCTTGATCCCCCTCCAACCAATCCTGTCCTTCCCTACACTATTGTCTGTGTCCATGGGCTATGCATATATGCATATATGGTCTTTGGTTAATATCTTCCAATCCTCCTTACCCTCCTCCCCTCTGAGATCTGTCAGTCTGTTCCATGAACCTAGACCTATTTTGTTCGTCAGTTAATTTTGTTCATTAGATTCCATATATAAGTGAGATCACGTGATTTTTGTCTTTCTTTGACTAATTTTGCTTAGCATAATAATCTCCAGGTCTTTCCATGCTCTCACAAAGGGCAAGAAATCCTTCTTTTTCACAGCCATGTAGTATTCCATTTTGTAAATGTACCACAGCCTTTAATCCACTTATCTACTGATGGGCACTTGGGCTGTTTCCAGATGTTAGCTATTGTAAATAACACTGCTATGAATATAGGGGTGGATATATTCTTTCTGATTGGTGTTTCAGGACTCTGAGGATATATTCCCAGAAGTGAGATCTCTGGGTCAAAGGGCAGTTCCACAGTGGTGGCACCAGTCTGCATTTCCACTAGCAGTGTACTAGGGTTCCCTTTTCTCCACATCCTCATCAGCACTTGTTGTTTGTTGATTTACTAATAGTTGCCATTCTGGCAGGTGTACCTCATTATAGTTTTAATTTGCATCTCTGATGATTAGTGACATTGAGCATTTTTTTCATAGTATTTCTATTGGCCATCTGTATGTCCTCTCTGGAGAAGTGTCTATTCAGGTCCTTTGCCCATTTTTTTAATTGAACTATTCATCTTCCTGGTGTTGAGTGTGAGTTCTTATATATTTGGAAATTAACCCTTTATCATATGTATCACTGGTGAGTGTGTTTTCCCATACAGTAGGATGCCTTTTCATTTTTTGGTGGTTTCTTTTGCTGTACAGAAACCTTTTAGTTTGATGTAGTCCCATTTGTTTATTTTTTTCCTTTGTTTCTCTTGCCCTAAGAGATGTATTGGCAAAAAATACTGCTATGTGAGATGTCTGAGATTTTACTGCCTATGTTTTCTTCTGGGATTTGTATTGTTTCACAACTTACATTTAAGTCTTTTATCCATTTTGAGTTTTTTCTTGTGTAGGTGTAAGTTGGTGGTCTAGTTTCATTTTTTGCATGTACTGGTCCAAGTTTCCAACACCATTTATTGAAGAGACTCTTTACTCATTGTATGCCCTTACCTCCTTTGTCAAATATTAAATGACCATATTAACATGGGTCAATTTCTGGGGTCTCTCTTCTGTTCCTTTGGCCTATGTTCCTGTTCTTGTGCCAGTACTAGGCTGTTCTGATTACAATGGCTTTATGGCTTTGTAGTATAGTTTGATATCCGGTATTGTGATCCCTCTAAGTTTGTTCTTCTTTCTCAAGATTGGTTAGGCCAGTGAGGGTCTTTTTTGGTTCCACATAAACTTGTGGAGTATTTGTTTTAGATATGTGAAATATGCCACTGGTATTTTTTTTTTTTTTTTTTTTGTGGTACGTGCCCCTAGCAGGAACCGAACACCCAGGGCTCTCTGGTCTGCAGGCCAATGCTCGATCGCTGAGCCAAACTGGCCAGGGCGCCACTGGTATTTTAATAGGAATTGTGTTGAATCTATAGATTGCTTTGCGTAGTAAGGACATTTTAATGATGTTAATTCTTCCAATCCATGAACACGGTATATGCTTCCACTTGTTTGTATCTTCCTTTATTTCTTTTTTCAATGTCCTATGGTTTTCCAAAAACAGGTCTTTTACCTCCTTGGCTAAGTTTATTCCTAGGTATCGTATTTTTGTTGTAATGGTAAATGGGATATTTTTTAGTTTCTCTTTCTGAGAGTGAATTATTGGTGTAAAAATGCCATCATTGGTTGATTCTTGTATGTGCCCTGACCCGGATCAAACCTGAAACCTTGGCATTCGGGAGGACACTAACCAACTGAGCTACCTGGCTAGGGCATTATATTATTTAAAAACAATAAAGAAAACAAATATATTAAGTACATACCTGCTTTTATGCCACAGTTCTGTCATCAGTTTGAGATAACTTTTACAAATGGCTGGTTTCTTATCTGTTCGAACTAGTCCTCCACAATCAAGAAAAAACTGTGTCAACGGTGGGCTAATTTAAAACAAAGAAATATGTTAATAGAGCATAATCAAGCTTAATACTGATTGCATGTCATCATTCAATGTACTAACAGTACAGAGATCCCTGTATCTATTATTTCTTTGTTCTCTTTTATAGCTTCACATTCATTTCTTCATATTCTTGCTCAACCCATTCAAACCAGATTTGACTCCACCATATCAGAGTCCTCAATGCTGTCAGATCCAGTTAATACCTTTCACTTTCCTTTGAGTAGCATTTGTCACAGGTGACTTATGCCCTCATTCCTGAGCAACCCTTCTCTTGACCAACTGAATGTACTTTTCTTCTTCATGTCTGTGACAACTCTTTTCTCTCTTTATTGTTCTTTCTGCTCTTACCAGATATCTAAATATCAGGGTTCCTCAGGACTGGATCCTATAACTTTTCCTCTCTTCCCTACATACACTTTTCCCTGGGTAACCTTTAATTTTCACATATGCCAATGACAGTCAAATTTTCCAAAGTCAAACATCTCATCTAAACTCCAGATTTACATCAAATGCCCAAACAAATGGCTATCTTGGGCATCTCAAATTTAACATGCTCAAAATTTAATTTTCAAGTGAGTCAGCTTGCTACTATATCCCAGTAAGTGGTACTGATATACATCCAGTGGCTCAATTTAGCAATTTATAAAGCAATGAACTTGATTACTTGAGGTAAACTCTGAGAATTTATTCACTTATAGGAAACTGCCAAAGGACCAAATCCTGGCCTGCAATAACTAGCGTAAAAAGATATCCCATGCAAGTGGAAAAAGAGAACATGGGTAGCTATACTTATATTAGACAAAATAGACTTTAACTCAAAAGCTGTAATGAGAGATAAAGAAGGTCATTATATAATGATAAAAGGGTCAATTCATCAAAAGGACAACATCTGTAAATATGTATGTGTACCTAATATAGGAACACCTAAATATATAAAGCTATTAATAAGAGATCTATTACACCAGTAGTAGAGTAATAGTAGAGGACTTCAATACTCCATTTTCAACAACAAACAGATCATCCTATCAGAAAAATCAGTAAGGAAACATTGGATTTAAGTTACATGTAAGACCAGATGAGCCTAACAGACACATACAGAACATTCCATCCAATCCAGTTTCTTGCCTACTTTATTTTGAGAGTTACTCAACAAGAAAGAGGAGGTAACTTTTCAGGACTATTAAAATATTTAGTTTTAGTTAATCCACATAATTTTCTAAATGGGGGCAAGTCAGAAAATGGGAAGAAAAAAATTATGTGTTGAGGTGGGTAAGGGAAGAAGTAGAGCCAGAAATTTATAGACTTCTGCTGGCTAGGGGAACTGAACAGATTTGTTAACTCTTTCCCATGGTACTATTAAAGTGTATTTATTTTCTCCTCCCACTTCTTTTTAAAAAAAAATCGTACTACAGCTACATGGTTCTCTGCTCAGAGTAATTTTAAAAAGCTATACAAACTGCCCTGGTCAATTTTTCCCAGTGGTTAGAGCGCCGGCCTGAGGACCGGAGAGTCCCGGGTTCAGTTTCCACTAAGGGCACGTACCTCGGTTGCAGTTTGTCCCTGGCCCGGGATGGGGTCGTGTGGGTGGCAACCACTTGATGCGTCTTTCTTGCATCAATGTTTCTCTCTCTTTCTTCACCGCCCTCTCTCCCTCTCTATCTGAAGATAAATGCAAAAATGTCCTTGGATGAGGATAAAAAAAAAAAACTACACAAAACAAAATTAATTTCTCTACTTACCAGTTAGAAAGAGCCTGCAAAGCTGCATTCATATAACAAGTGTTGCCAATATTTTTCAAACCTGTAAGACCTATCAAGACAAAGCAGAAGTTATGTCATCATTCAATAATGCAATGATTCAGCCCTAGCCAGTTTGGCTCAGCGGTTAGAACGTCGGCCTGCAGTCCGGAGAGACCCGGGTTCGGTTCCCGCTAAGGGCACGTACTTCGGTTGCAGTTTGTCCCCGGCCCTGGTTGGTCGTGCGGGTGGCAGCCACTCAATGTGTCCCTTCATGTCGATGTTTCTCTCTCTCTCTCCCTCCCACTCTATCTGTACAAAAAATGGAAAAATATCCTCGGGTGAGGATAAAAAATAAAAATAAAAATAATGCAATGATTCAATTTTATAAGTGTTTACTGAATATGTAACTATGTATGGTAATTATTATGGATCCCAAACTATAGTAAGAAAATATAAAATAGCCTGGCCAGTGTAGCTCAGTGGTTGAGCACTGACCCATGCGGCAAGAGGTCGCTGGTTCAATTCCCAGTTAAGACACATGCCCAGGTTGTGGGCCAAATCCCCAGTGGGGGGCCTGCAAGAGGCAGACAGTCAATGTTCTCTCTCATCAGTGTCTCTTCCTCTCTCTCTCTGTCCCTTCCTCTCTCTCTAAAATCAATAAAGGAAAAAAATTCTTAAAAAGAAAATACAAAATAGCCCAGCTGGTGGATTGAGTGTCATCCCATGGACGGAGAGGTCCCAGTTTGATTCCTAGTCAGGGCACATGACTAGGTTGCGGGCTTGATCCCCAGTATGGGGTTTGCAGAAGGCAGCCAATCGATGTCTCTCTCTCTCTCCCTTCCTCTATCTCTAAAAAATCAATTAAAAAAAAAAAAAGGAGCCCTGGTCAGTTTGGCTCAGCGGTTAGAGCGTCGGCCCGCAGTCCAGAGAGACCCGGGTTCAGTTCCCACTAAGGGCACGTACCTTGGTTGCAGTTTGTCCCCAGTCCCAGTTGGGGTTGTGCGGGAGGCGGCCACTCGATATGTCCCTTTCACGTCGATGTTTTTCTCTCTCTCTCTCCCTCCCACTCTATCTGAACAAAAGTGGAAGGATGTCCTCAGGTAAGGATAAAAAAAAAAAAGGAAGTACAAAATACTTTATGGAAATATAAAATAACAACCTGCACAACTCAGAGGGGTCAGACTTATACCAAAGTGTTAATTTTCAGACAGTTATTTAAATATACACTTAAAATTCCCTTATATCAATTACAAAACAGAAAATTTGTGCTAAATTATGTACAGATAATTTATACTAAAAACTTTGGTTTTTGTAAAGTGATGACAGAGAAACCAAACATCACTCAAAGTTATCAGTCTGCTTTTTTTGCAAATACAACTTTACTAGGCTGCATTTCAAAAAAAAAAATTTTTTTTTTTGGTAATTATCATCTGTAGAGTTCCTTTCTCAACTGTGTAATGTGAAAATTTTGAAATTTTCCACATTACACAGTTTACTAAAGAAATGAACAGGACCATACAAAGAGGGTTACATAAGATAATTATTTTACCTCTTGCCTTAAGCTTGTCTTCTTCTTCCACTTCTATATCCAGATCATCAAATACAGCAACCCGAGGAGTTTTTAATGTCGTGTTACTGGATATTTTAAAATCCTTGATAACAGAAAAGATAGTAGACTTAAATCTATTATGTTAAAAAGTTTTAATTTTACCTCATATACCTCCTACAGTCTAAAACTTAGGAGATGTTATTTTTAGTAAGAATTCAAGATATTATCAATTAGAATAAAATTTACACTTATATTTTGAAACTAATAAGGATCTATACTTGGTAATAGCATGCCATTCTACCTTTATTAACATATATACTTGAATAACAAAGCCACTTATGACTTTTCTGAATTTAAACACAATTCACTCCAATTCAGTAAGGTCACATCATAACATAAAAGACCTAAGTGCACATATCCTACATCGTCTTTTTCTAAATTTTTACAGGAAAAATAAAATACTAAAACTTTTCCATCATAACTTATCTGTAGACTTCTATAATATCTCCTTATACTTGTTAATATACTTATTTTGCATCCTTTTATGCATATAATTTGTTTTAAATAAAAATAAAATATTCCAATATTAATTTCCAAGAATTAGCTTAACTTATGACAACTTAATTTATGCAACTGGTGACCTGTTGGTCAAATGGGAACCCATACTATTTAACAGCAAAAGCAAAACTTTGAGCTAATATTTTAAAAATTGGGAAAGCTCACATAATCAGATTTGGCAAGTTCTCTTATAATAGCAAAAGATCAAAGTATATTTAGTTGGAGAAGGAAACTGAATAGCAGCATGTTCTTAGCATGTGCTCTGGTTCTCCAAGTTATAGCTTTATTCTGCCTGTATAATGCATGCATATTCCCTTACAATGACACACTTTATATGGCCACTTCATCTTCCTGGCACTTGCAGATACTGAACACTTGAGTAGGCCCCATATTCTCATTTTGTGGTATTTAAATACAGAGAAATGCAGTCTTTTAAAAAATTCATTCCACATCTTACCTCCTACAAAAAATTTTCTATTTGAAAATTTTTAATGATATTTGAATGGTTTCCAACACTTATTTTATAACTAATGCTCTGAGGAAACTGGGTTCAAACAACGTATAAATTTTGTACCTCAAAAATTTTGTACAAGTAACTTTTTTTCCTCTAGTAATTTCTTCAACAATGGATCATCAGTAAGTTACATGAAAGTAATGTATTTTAAGTACTGAAAATATAACTCACTGGAGAATTATATATTTACAAACCACCAAAGAAGTATCAATACATTTATTCAACCACACTCAACGTTCACTAAGAGTCTGCAATCTTCTGACAGAAATGGCAACAGATGGCTGTTTTAACTTACTTTTCTTTAGTTAGTGATGATTATTTTCTCAATGTGTTTTTATTTGTACTTCTTTGTGAATTATCTGCACTTATTCTTTCAGCCACCTTTTGAGTATTGCCCTTATAAAAATGTTATCAGCCCTGGCCGGCTTGGCTCAGTGGTTAGAGCATCAGTCTGCGGACTGAAGGGATGCAAGTTCGATTCCTGGTCAAGCGCATGTACCTCAGTTGCAGGTTTAATCCAGTGGGGGTCGTGTGAGAGGCAACTAATCAATGTGTCTTTCTCACATGGGTGTTTCTCTCTCTCTCTCCCCCTCCCTACTTCCCTTCCACTCTACCTAAAAATCAATGGAAAAATATCCTCAAGTGAGGATTAACAAAAAAATAAATATATAAAATAAAAAATAAAAATTGCTATCAGTTCTTTAGTTATCACATTTTTGTTAATAATGTAAGAAGGGCCCTGGCCGGTTTGGTTCAGCGGTTAGAGCATCAGCCTGTGGATCAATGAGTCGTGGGTACGATTTCTACCAAAGGCGTGTACCTCAGTTGCGATTCGTCCCCAGCCCTGGTTTGGGTCATGCGGGAGGCAGGCACTCGATGTGTCCCTTTCACGTCGATGTTTCTCTCTCTCTCTCTGTCTCTTCCTCTCTCTCCCTCCAACTCTATCTGAACAAAAATGGAAAAAAGGTCCGTGGGTGAGGATTAAAAAAAAAAAAGTAAGAATGTTCAAGAAAACTTATTCTCAAACTAAGAAGACACTCAAAAATAACAAAAAATACATTTCTGAATGATAAATAGGTATCAGTGGGAGAAACAGTAATAGTGGTAATTTATTAACTAGAGCCATTAGACTGTGAATCTAGAGATGCAAGAAATAGACCTTGTCTAAAATCTAGTCACCTTAAGTTATATGTGTGAGGCAAGCAAATTTATTATCATAGATGTCTACTATCAGAATGTAATACAAATACACAACAGAAAAATCTAAGAGAGCTGGTGTCAAGAACAAGTATAGAAATACATAACACTTTTGAGGAAAAACTCACTAATGTGTTAATTAAAACATACAGAGCAAATGATGACTAGAGTAAGTTAGAAGCCAACTATTTTAATTTTTTCATTTCCCTTTTTCTATTTTCTTATAACTAGAAAACTCTCAAAATTAAGTGGGCAATCTTCCCAAGCTTATACATATTTTGTAACCAAAGACTGATGGTAAGCTTTAATATATTCTGATTTTCAATAAATTGTAAATGTTCACAGTAATGCAAATGGGGGTGGAGATGGGAAGTAAACGAGGAAAAGGGAACTGAATTATATTTGTTACTCCCCATCAAAGAAGGCTTCTAGAATCAGACTTGCTAGAAAAAAGATTTAAAAAAAAAACACACTAGTTTAAATAGTGTTTAAGGTTTTAAAACATATCAGGTACCTTCCCATTTTCAGTGAGATGGACTTCAATCTCACCCTAACCTGTCATTCTATAAAAAAACAAAGGCCAGGACTTCCGGTCAAGATGGCGGCGTAGGTAAACGCGGTATCACGTCCTCCCACAACCACATCAAAGTTACAATTAAACTACAGAACAACCATCATTCAAAACCGCCTGAAATCATCCTGAATGGAAGTCCTACAACTACAGAATTAAAGCAGCAGCCACATCCAGACTGGTAGGAGGGGAAGAGGTGCGAGGGCCGGAGGCCAGACGGGCTGGTCCCACACCCACGTGTGGCGGATAAAAATCAGAATACTTGGGCTGGGAAGGTCCTTCCTGAGGACTGAGGGGTCCCCATCCCACACCAGATGCCCCACTCAGGGTTCCAGTGCCAGGGAGAGAAGTCCCCATAACTTCTGGCTGGAAAAACCAGCAGGAACTGAGGCTCAGGGAAGCTGACACGGCTGGAGCCCCAGGCAGCTCCTTAAAGGGCCCGCACACTGACTTCTCGGACTCTCTCCCTCTAAGCTTGGAGGGGAGGCAGCTCCAGGGGTGCCAGAGACACACAGGGAAGAACTGAGCTGTTTGGTATTGGAGCAAGGGCTGGACAGGGGGCTTTATCCGGGACAAACGTGCTGTCAGAGGCCTTTGTTCCTTTGGAGAGCCCTTCCCTAGGGCGGCAGACACCTGCCATATCTGGGACTTCAGCAACCTGGCTCACACCGGTAGCCCAGCTCTGGTGACTCCCTGAGGCCCCGCCCCACCCCACCTAACTTTCAGGCCCACCCAAGCTGTTGCCAGTTGCTTAACCATAGGATTGGCCTGTCTTGGATCCTGCTTCAGATTTTTCCTAAATTCTTTCAAACGAGCAGCATCTGGTCTCAGCTAGCCCCATACCGCTCGTTGAGTAATACACAGAAACACACAGGGAGGTAGCCAAAATGAGGAGACAAAGAAACAGGTCACAAATGAAAGAACAGAACAAAACCCCAAGAAAAGAACTAAGCGACATGGAGATAAGCAACCTAACAGATGCTGAGTTCAAAATACTGCTTATAAGGATACTCAATGAACTCAGTGAGAACCTCAGTGAACTTAGTGAGGGCCTCAAGAGCATTAAAAAGGACCAGTCAGAATTGAAGGAGGCATTAACTGAAATAAAGAATAATTTACACAGCTTCAATAATAGAATATGTAAATCCAAGAAGCAAACCATCAATTTGGAATATAAGGAAGCAAAAAACGCCCAATCAAAACAGCAAAAAGAAAAAAGAATCCAAAAAAATGAGGATAGTGTAAGGAGCCTCTGGGACAACTTCAAGCGTGCCAACATTCGCATCTTGGGGGTGCCAGAAGGAGAAGAGCGAGAACAAGAAATCAAAAACCTGTTTGAAACAATAATGGCAGAAAACTTTCCTAACTTGGTGAAGGAAACAGACATACACGTCCAGGAAGCACAGAGAGCCCCAAACAAGATGAACCCCAAGGGGCCCACACCAAGACACATCATCATCAAAATGCAAAAGGTTCAAGACAAAGAGAGAATCTTAAAAGGAGCAAGAGAAAGGCAGCTAGTTACCTACAGGGAGTTCCCATAAGGCTGTCAGCTGATTTCTCAAAAGAAACTTTGCAGGCCAGAAGGGAGTGGCAAGAAATATTCAGAGTGATGAAAAGCAAGAACCTACAACCAAGATTACTCTATCCTGCAAAGCTGTCATTTAGAATCAATGGACATATAAAGAGTTTCCCAGACAAGAAAAAGTTAAAGGAGTTCATCACCACCAAACCGTTATTATATGAAATGTTGAAGGGTCTTTTTGAAGAAAAAGATACAATATATGAACAAACAAAATGGCAATGAACACATATCTATCGACAATGGAATCTACAAACAAAATGAACAGGTAGATCAGAAACATTCTCATAGATACAGAGAACATTTTGTTGGTTGCCAGATGGGAGGGGGTCGGGAGAATGGGTGAAAAAGGTGAAGGGATTAAGAAGTACAAATTCATTGCTAGACTGACAAACCTCAAAGGGAAAGGGGTTGGGGGTGAGAAGAAATAAACCAAAGAACTTATATGCATAACCAATGGACACAGACAATAGTGTGGGAAAAGGCGGGAGCGGGGCAGGAGTGGGGAGGAGGGAGTCAATGGGGGAAAATGTGGAACATCTGTAATACATTCTACATTCAACAATAAAGATTAAAAAAAAAAAACTTAAAAAAACAAAACAAAGGCCAGCCTCAGTGTTTGAACTGAGAAAAAGAGGCACATTATGAACATTTTTTACAGTACAAGTTTGGTGGGGTTCTTTTAAATTTCAACAACATAACAAATTCTGAAATTATTACCTGAAATATTTGATATTTTAATTAAATAAATTCAGATAATTACCTGGACACTATTTTCTTGTGTTTGGTGAAGCGGTCTTACATGAGGCAATGAAGGCTGAGTTCCTAATTTCCTGTCCAAAAACACTTCTTTGCTGCAAGCATAACACCATACTCGAAGAGTGGTAAGGTTCACAGTTAAATAATGCTTTGTTTCCTGTATAATTTCACAGGGACAAAGAGAGGAAACAGAATTAGGTATAGTTGAAAACATTTCAAAAGAGCATAGAAGATAAACTACTGGCCTTTGATGAGTAACAATATATTCAAAAGAGAAGAGTTAAACTCGAACACCAAAATCATTCTTTCAATAAACTGATAAAGTATAGTGAATAGTAACAATATCTACATCTATTCTAGAAGTTATTCTATTGTAATTTTTCACAACTATTCATTATGAAAATAAAACACAACAGTATAAGACTCTGCTTTGCAATTAGCAAATAAGCATACTACAAGAAAATACCTGACAATAACAGTAACTATTCTAGGATATAAGAATGGCAAAAGAATAAACATGGCATGAGTTAAAGCACAAAACAGCTCAAGTAATAGCGAATATGTTATCTTAGGTATGTAAAACTCTTGCCTTTCTCAACTGAATTGCTGTAAGAGAATTATGTCCTCTGGAAAATGAACCGAGTAACTAGTTTCTCATTTCTCCCAAGAATGGTACACAGCACTACCATTCTAGATGCGTAAAAAAATTTAAGTAAATTAAATACAATGATGCCTCTGAGGGTCTTAGGGTGTTAAGGCTTAATTAGCTCATTTGAGGAACCCTGGTTAAGAACAGTGGATGCTGTAGAGAGATAAAGGTGAAAAAAGACTGTTCGTTCTCAAGAATCACAGTTTAGAATGGAAGCTCTACCTAACTCCATAAAAGAGGCACACCAGAATTATGCAAGAGCACCAAAAAACTAGGGTGAAGGAGAATGGGAACTCCAATTTCAGAATGTGCAAGAAAAGGTAATGAGTTAAAATTTGAAGTTAGCCAGCAATGTCATAAGCCAAGGCATTCACTCCTACTTCCATCATATCCTCGTAATATTCCAGCTATCACCTCCATATATCAGGAGGTATAACATCAGGAGAAATAATTCTTAAATCATTACTATTAATTACAATCTCATTCTAATACTGATCTTTTTAGCAATTCCCCTCTTTATACTCCCTTTTAAAGAGTATAAACTAAGCTTTAATTCCTCTTACATAAAAAAGGGCAAAATTTCAAATTATAATTTCAATAAATAATGTTGAATTTGCTTTCCTCTCCTTCAGGCTTTCTTAAAAAAAAATGCTCTGCATGAAAATTTTCTATATACATACCTGAGAATGTATGGTGCTGTGATCTACTTGTGATTCACCACAGCCAACATACGAACATCTACTCTGCAATTATACAGAAAGGGAAATAAAATATTTTACAACAAATTTCACATTACAATAACAGCATTATAATTACATTTATAATTAAATTCTTATCGCATTTTAAACTTAATGATTAACTGACTTTCCATAGTTATTTTAACTAAAAGATACTAGGCACAAAAGAATAAACCCAGAATATTTATAAGCTAAAAGTTATGTCACCTCTAATAAAAAACGTGTAGCCCTGGCTGGTTTGGCTCAGCGGTTAGAGCTTTGGCCTGTGGTCCAGAGAGACCCGAGTTTGGTTCCCACTAAGAGCATGTACCTTGGTTGCAGTTTGTCCCCGGCCCTGGTTGGGTTGTGCGGGAGGCAGTCACTCGATGTGTCCCTTTCATGCTTATGTCTCTCTCTCTCTCCCTCCCACTCTATCTGAACAAAAAATAGAAACATGTCCTCGGGTGAGGATTAAAAAAAGTGTAAAATATTTTAGTGATTTACTAAAAGTCTCTCTCCCTTCTTCCCTCCCTTTAAAATCAGTAAAATCAGCCCTAGATAGTGTGGCACAGTTGGGTGAGCATCCTTCCATCCAAAAGGTTGCTGGTTGTATTCCTGGTCAGGGCACATGCCAGGTTATTGGCTCAATCCCCAGTAGGGGGTGTGCAGGAGGCAACTTATGGATGTTTCACTCTCACATTGATGTTTCTGTCCTAAAAAAAAAATCAGTAAAAACATATCTTTAGGTCAGGGGAAACTCGATTAAAAATATGTTCATTTATAAAATATTTTAAGTGTCAAAAAACCTTCTAGTTAGCCTTATTCAGATACAAATTTTTATAATATCAAATATTTGGAAAAAAACACATATAAGAAGAAAAAAATAAAAAATAAAAAAAGATAAGAAACACATATATACCTCCAGGCATGCCCAAAGATTTGGTCCTCTGACTTTACAATCCTGACAAGTACTCTATGAAACAAAAACCACATAGAAAACATTATCATTATCTTGACACAGCCAAACACATACAATTTACTAGTATTATCATATATAAAAAATGTGGACTTCTGAACATAGAGTATGATAGTAATTTATAAAAAACATATATTCAGGAGAAAAACAATTTTTTAAGGAAGAAAACCCTATTTTCTTACATGAGATTTTTGTATTAACTCTTCTTTTGTTATTTCACCAACCGAGTCCAAATGTGAACAATGATTTCGAAAACCTGACATTTTGTTACAGATTTTTTCCTGTTTCTCAAGGTTTTCCAAATGAGGTAATACCTATGAAAGAAATGACCAAAAGTTAATTTGAAAATGCTAATGTTAAAAGACAAAATAAGAAACACACGCAAGAGTATATTTTCAAATATACTTAAATCGTTTTCATAATTGAACTTAATGTAAACACTGAGAATGTCTCTACTATTTTATTAATACTGACACTCGTGATACCATGTAAGTTTATTTCTTCATCACTTTTACTGCTTTTCCCCCTTTCTCCATTTTTCTTTTTAGAGATAGATGAAAGGGGAAAATTCAAGTTATTCCATTTAAGTATTTTTATCCTTTAAAAAAAGATGAACACTTAGGCTGAAATTGAAAAGAAAGAAAATTCAAATGGGATAATATAAATGAAATTGTCTGGTATCTTAGTAATATAGCAGGATAGTCATTTTATATCAAGGTTTTTCAACCTTGTACCACTGATACTTTGGACCAGATAATTCTTTGTTGTGCAGTGCTGTCCTGTGCATTGTAAGATGTTTAGCAACATTCCTGCTAGAACACCCTTACCACCACTCTGAGCTTTAACAACGAATATCACTACACAGTATGAAATTGTCCTCTAGGAGGCAAAATCATCCCAAGTTGAGAACCACATTATTATATGATTCTTTCAACAATCGTGAGGTAGGTACCATTATCTTCATTTGCATCTAAGACTGAAGGGGCAAATTTGACAGAGTTCACGTTGTTAACACCTGGCAGAACTAGGATTTAAATGCACTCATATATATTATGGGTAAGAGCAAGGACTCTTAGGTCAAATAAACCCAAGGATACCAGTAAGAGCAGAACGGCATACCTAACTTATGGAGTTACTGTAAGGATTTAATGAAGTAGTACATGTAATATGAGTGTCTGAGTGTGCATGTGTGTGTGTTTGTACACAATATTGCACAAACATATATACATATATTCACTCTGAAGCATCATTTCTTTATACAGTGTTTTTTTAATGACCAGTAAGGTCTGATACCTCCCTCTCCATGAAATCACCAGTTTAAGACTATGGTAGTTTCCCAAATCAATTATAATTTTCCCAATACTCTTCAGAAGTTTCCTCCATTCCATTAGAGTAAACAGAAGATCAAGTGTTTTGTAATAGCAATCCACTTAATTTCCTCCAATAACCTAATGAGGTAAAGAATGATCAGAATACTATGATATCACTAAATTTTATCTATCTCCACTACAATCTTATACATTATAGAGCTAACTGGATATACAGAGTCATTTCCAAGGAAAAGACTCAGATCTAACTCAGTATTTCTCCATCTTCTTCGGGTTATAAATTCTTAATAGGGCTTTTCATGTCCTTAATTCATCTTTGGGGTTTGAGAACACTGGGAAAAAATTTAGAAACTTACAAGGAAAAAATTAAGATTTATTAATGTACGGAGATATTAACATATTAGTAAAAACATTAAACAAATTAGTAAAAACGTTCAATAAAATCAAATCAATGAGTCCAATATTACATTGTTACCTACAAAATACAACAGAAATCACTCTAGGGTTAATAGAGAATACATCATTATTACTAAACATTAAATAATATTAAATAAGCTATGATCTGAACATTCAGAGCATGAAGTTAAAACAACTGTTAAGATTTTCTATTTCTTAGTATTTGGGGAAGGGGTTGGCAACCTTTCCCACCCACCTCTCACTTCCTTTTGTGGTTAGGTATCTCTTCCCTCTTAGACAATTACTTCTACTGCCGGCCATGATGGAGTAACAGGGAGCAGATTTACTCTCTCGCCTTAAATAACTAAAAGGCCAGACAAGATACATCAAACAATGGTTTTCAGACACAGCACAACAGGAAGTGCAGGACACTGATCCCCTTAAAAGATAAAAAACAAGTCGACTGTCTCAGCTTATTGCCTGGAGAAAATGTCTAGGACACAGTACAGATAGAGAACAGTTGAAAATCCAGGGAGACCAAGGTAGCTAAAAATCACAAAGCAGAGTAACAGAGAGGAAAGAACTAAATGGAGTAAACTCACAGGATTTAGAGAGAGAGAACAATTGTCTTCAGCATGCTCAAGTGATTAAACTAAGCATTCCCAGCAGGTGTGGTTTAGTGGACTGAGTGTTAGCCCATGGACTGAGAGGTCCCAGTTCCATTCCTGGTCAGGGCATATGCCTGGGTTTCGGGCTTGATCCCCAGAAGGGGACATGCAGGAGGCATCCAATTGATGTTTCTCTCTCACACTGATGTTTCTATCTCTCTCTCCCTTCCTCTCTCTCTAAAAAAAATCAATAAAAACATATGTAAAATAAATAAATAAACAAACTACCCTAAGCAGGAAAGAACTACTGGAAAGGAGTAGGCAGAACAATTCTCAAAGCCAATACAAGTTTGTGTTTCCATCAGCCAGAGTTGAAAGACTCTATAATATACAGGGAATAAAATAAGAGTACTCAGAAGGCTCTGCCTTTAAAAAGCTCAAAAGCTAGTATTATAGGGTCAAACTGTTCCTAAGAAATGTAACTGTTTCCCAGAACAATGCTGAAGGATATTTAAGGGTATGAAAAAACCTAGCACCTAACAAGGTAAAATGACAATGTCTGACATCCAATAAAAAAATTTAAGACACACAAAGAAGGAAAATCTGACCCGCAGTGAGGAGAGAAAAAAAGAAACCCAGAAAAGCCCAGCTGGTGTGGCTCAGTGGTTGAGTGTTCACCCATGAACCAAGAGGTTGCTGGTTCAATTCCCAGTCAGGGTACATGCCCAGGTTGCGGGCCCAATCCCCAGTGGAGGGCATGCAGGAGGCGGCTAATCAATGTTCTTTCTCATTGATGTTTCCATCTCTCTCTCCCTTCTCCCTTCCTCTCTCTCTAAAATCAATAAAGAAAAAAATTAAAAAAAAAAGAAACCCAGAAGTAACAGATGATGGAATAAAGGACGCATGCTAAGGAAAGACATGGAAGGAAAATAAAAAAGACCTAAATCAAGTTACTAAATGTTTAAAATGAAATAGTGTCTGAGGTGAAAATTACAGTGGATGAGATTAACAGTAGATTAGACAATGCAAAACAATAATGAACTTGAAGAAAAAGCAAAAGAAACTATTCAAATTGAAACACAAAAACTGAGAGAATTAAGTAAGAGCATTACTCAGCTGGGTGGAAAAGTCCAAATTTGATGAAAATTAAAAATGTACAATTTTGATGCAACACAAAGTTAAAGCATAAGACATGAAAAAACTATACCATGGCAACATCAAAAACAAGTTGCTTAAAACCAGTAATAAAAACTACATCTTCAAAGCAGTCAAGAGAGACCGATAATGTTTACTAGAAACAATGCAATGGGAAGACAGTGGAGCAACATTTTTACAGTACTGAAAAAAGACATGTCAACTTAGAATTCCATACCTAGGAAACACCTTTCAAAAATAAAGACTTCTTTAGACATACAAAAACTGAAAGAATTTAACACCAGCATACCTGCACTATATAAGCCTTGTATGTATGCTTCAGTATTTTTCCATTCTTTTTTTAAATTTTTTTTTCTTTATTGATTTTAGAGAGAGAGGAAGGGAGAGGGGGAGAGAGACAGAAACATCGATGACAGAGAACATCGAATGGTCCCTCACTTGGGATCTAGCCCACAACCCGGGCATGTGCCCCGACCGGGAATTGAACCTGCGACCTCTTGGTGCATGCTCAACCACTTAGCCACACAGGCCGGGCTATTTTTCCATTCTTATAAAATCATACACAAAATACAGAGATATATATGGCATTTTTTTTGTCAATAGTACTTTGACATCTATCCCCCTAATGTTAACTTTTTCATGAATACACATATGTCACGATGCATATATTGTATAAATTATTCAATTAACTTTTCTCTCAATAAACATTCACTTTGTTTCCTTAACCTGCCATTAAAAACATTTCTATAGCACTGGCCAGTTTGGCTCAGCGGTTAGAGCGTCGGCCTGCGGTACAGAGAGACCCGGGTTCGGTTCCCGCTAAGGGCACGTACTTCGGTTGCAGTTTGTCCCCGGCCCTGGTTGGTCGTGCGGGTGGCAGCCACTTGATGTGTCCCTTCACGTCGATGTTTCTCTCTCTCCCTCCCACTCTATCTGTACAAAAAATGGAAAAATATCCTCGGGTGAGGATAAAAAATAAAAAAAAAAAAAAAAAAAACATTTCTATAAGTACAACTTTATATGGACCAGTTTATAAAAATAGATTTTGCAAAATTATGTTCCAAAAATGTTAGACAACTTACCTTTCCATTAATAATATAAGGCAATACCATATTCTGCACAGCACCACCATTTTCTCTACTAGCAATAGGTATCACTGTTTGTTTTTTTTCCCTTTTTAAAGAATTTTATTGAGCCCAGCCAGTATGGCTCAGGGATTGAGCATCGACCCATGCACCAAGAGGTTGCCGGTTCGATTCCGAGCCAGGGCACATGCCCAGGTGTGGGCCCAATCCCCAGTGGGGGACATACAGGAGGCAGCCAGTTGATATTCTCTCTCACCGATGTTTCTATCTCTTCCTCTCCCTTCCTCTCTCTCTAAATTCAATAAAGAAAAAAAAAGTTTTGTAAAAAAAGAATTTTTATTGACTTTTAGAGAAAGGGAGAAAGAGAAACATCTATCAACTGCCTTCTGCACATCCCCCACCAGGGACTGAGCCCACAACCCAGGCATGTACCCTGACCGGAAATTGAACTGGCAACCCCTGGGTGCATGGGTACACCAACTGAGCAACACTGGTCAGGGTTGCTCCTGTCATTTGATGGGTATATCGCTATATTTGACTAGTATTTTAATTTGCATTACTTCACAATCAGTGCATTTGAGTGTCTTTTCATAAATTTTACAGCCTCCTAGATTTGCTCTTTTATTAACTGCTTCCTTAAATCTCTTGTCCTTTTTTTTTTTTTTTTTTAAATCCTCACCCGAGGACATTTTTCCATTTTTTTGTTCAGATAGAGTGGGAGGGAGAGAGAGGAAGAGAGAGAGAGAGAAACATCGATGTGAAAGGGACACATTGAGTGGCTGCCACCCGCACGACCAACCAGGGCCTAGGACAAACTGCAACTGAGGTTCGTGCCCTTAGCGGGAACTGAACCCAGGTCTCTCTGGACCACAGGCTAATGCTCTAACCGCTGAGCCAAACTGGCCAGGGCTCTCTTGTCCTTTTTAATATTAGGTCATAGCCTCTTCTCATAAAATTAATCTTGCCTTCTATACTAAAAATATTTTTCAAAGTTACTATTTGTTTTTAAGTGTTTATTTAATTTTGCTAAAATACAGATAATATAAATTTATCATCTTAACTTTTTTGTTAATCCTAACCCAAGGATATTTTTCCATTGATTTTCAGAGAGAGTGGAAGGGACAGAGGGAGAGGGAAGAGGCGGAGAGAGAAAGAAAAACATCGATGTGAGAGAAGCACATCAATTGGTTGCCTCCCAAATGAACCCAACCAGCCAGTGACAGAATCTGCAACCCAGGTACATGCTCTTGACAGGAATCAAACAGGAGACCCCTTCGGTCCTTAAGCCAATGCTCTAACCACTGAACCAAACCAGCCAGGGCTCATCTTAACCATTTTTAAGTGTATGGCCCAGTAGTATTAAGTACATTCGCAAGGTTGTGCAACCGATCTCCAGAACTCTTTTCACCTTGTAAAACTAAAGTTCTACAGCCATTAAACTGCAACTCTTCTACCACCCCCTAGCAACCACCATTCTCCTTTCTGTCTCCATGAATTTTACTAGTCTGGGTACCTCTTAAGTGAAATTACACAGTAAGTCATTTTGTGACTGGCTTATTTTACTTAGCATAATTTCCTCAGGGTACATCCATTGTAGCTTGTTAGAATTTCCTTCCTTTTCCAGGTTGAACAACATTCAATTGTATGTATATATCACGTTTTGTTTATCCATAGCAGGACACTTGCATTGTGTTTAACCTTTCCTTTTGCTTACTGTGAACGTGGCTATACAAATAATTTCTCAGGTCCTTCCTTTCAGTTCTTTTGGGTATATACTCAGAAGTGAAATTGCTGGATCACATGGTAATTACATTTTTAATTTTTTGTGGAATCGCCATACTATACATGTACATATATACTCATACGGCTGCACCATTTCACATTCCCACTTCAGTGCACAAGGATTCCAATTTTTTCACTTCCTCATCAACACTTATTGTTGTGTTATTTTCTGGTTCCCTGAAAGGAGCCATCCTAATGGTGTAAGGTGGTATCTCACTGTGGTTTTGATTTTCTTTTCCCAAATGATCAGAAATACTGAACATCATGTGTTAGCCATTTATTTATATACCTTCTTTAAAGAAATGTCTATTCAAGTCCTTTCTCTGTCATTTAATGGGATTGTTTACATTTTTGTTGTTGAGTTGAAGGAGTCCTTTATATATTCTGTATATTTATCTCTGTATCATATATGATTTGCAAATATTTTCTCCCAATCCGTAGGTTGACTTTCATTCTATTGTGTCCTTTCATGCAGATAAGTTGTTAATTTAATGTAGTCCAATTAATTTCTTTACTTTTGTTGCCTGTGCTTTTGGTGTTATATCCAAGAAATCACTACCAAATCCAATGTCACAAAAGTTTCCCCCCTATGTTTTCTTCTAAGAGTTTTAGTTCTTATATTTAGGTCTTTGATTCATTTGAGTCAATTTTATATGTGGTATAAGGTAAGGGTCTAACTTTATATTATTGCATTTGAATATACAGTTTGCCCAATACTCTTTGTTGAAAAGATTATCCTGCCGGTCACCCCCCTTCCCCCTTGCAATCGTCTTGGCACTCCAG